GAGAAAACAAATGCTGTAATGCATATTGGGAGAAGACACAATCCCATACTCTCTGTGGTGTGTCCAGCAATGTACCAAAAAAAGCAACATTGATGAAAAAGCTGCTCCTTTCTAAATGTGTGTTTTATATTCCCCACCTGATGACCAAACACCTTCAGGTAATAGGTCACCATGTTCTACTACACAATCAGCTTCCTCTTTAAAAACAAATCTGCTTTAATAGATCTACCTCTGGTATCTCACTGAAAGGGTTCATTTGGACAAAACTTATTAAACTATTAGGCATTAGGCTTTTATTCTAATTGGTGGCATTAACTTTTGTGTAATGATTATAAATAAATTATATAGAATCATAGAATCATAGAGTTGGAAGAGACCACAAGGTGCCATCGAGTCCAACCCCCTGCCAAGCAGGAAACACCATCAGAGCACTCCTGACATATGGTTGTCAAGCCTCTGCTTAAAGACCTCCAAAGAAGGAGACTCCACCACACTCCTTGGCAGCAAATTCCACTGTCAAACAGCTCTTACTGACAGGAAGTTCTTCCTAATGTTTAGGTGGAATCTTCTTTCTTGTAGTTTGGATCCATTGCTCCATGTCCGCTTCTCTGGAGCAGCAGAAAACAACCTTTCTCCCTCCTCTATGTGACATCCTTTGATATATTTGAACATGGCTATCATATCACCCCTTAACCTCCTCTTCTCCAGGCTAAACATGCCCAGCTCCCTTAGCCGTTCCCCATAAGGCATCGTTTCCAGCCTTTGACCATTTTGGTTGCCCTCCTCTGGACACGTTCCAGTTTGTCAGTGTCCTTCTTGAACTGTGGTGCCCAGAACTGGACACAATACTCCAGGTGAGGTCTGACCAGAGCAGAATACAGTGGCACTATTACTTCCCTTGATCTAGATGCTATACTCCTATTGATGCGGCCCAGAATTGCATTGGCTTTTTAGCTGCCGCGTCACACTGTTGGCTCATGTCAAGTTTGTGGTCAACCAAGACTCCTAGATCCTTTTCACATGTACTGCTCTCAAGCCAGGTGTCCCCCATCTTGTATTTGTGCCTCTCATTTTTTTGCCCAAGTGCAATACTTTACATTTCTCCCTGTTAAAATTCATCTTGTTTGTTTTGGCCCAGTTCTCTAATCTGTCAAGGTCGTTTTGAAGTGTGATCCTGTCCTCTGGGGTGTTAGCCACCCCTCCCAGTTTGGTGTCATCTGCAAATTTGATCAGGATGCCCTTGAGTCCATCATCCAAGTCGTTGATAAAGATGTTGAATAAGACCGGGCCCAAGACAGAACCCTGTGGCACCCCACTAGTCACTCTTCTCCAGGATGAAGAGGAACCATTGATGAGCACCCTTTGGGTTCGGTCAGTCAGCCAGTTACAAATCCACTAAGTGGTAGCATAGTCAAGACCGCATTTTACCAGCTTCTTCACAAGAATATCATGGGGCACCTTGTCAAATGCCTTGCTGAAATCAAGGTAGGCTACATCCACTGCGTTCCCTTCATCTACCAGGCTTGTAATTCTGTCAAAAAAACGAGATCAGGTTAGTCTGACATGACTTATTTTTCAGAAATCCATGCTGACTATTGGTGATCACAACATTCCTTTCTAGGTGCTCACAGACTGTTTGCTTAATGATCTGCTCCAGAATCTTCCCTGGTATTGATGTCAGACTGACTGGGCGGTAATTATTTGGGTCCTCTCTTTTCCCCTTTTTGAAAATAGGGACAACATTTGCCCGCCTCCAGTCTGCCGGGACTTCGCCTGTTCTCCAGGAATTCTCAAAGATGACTGCCAGTGGTTCTGAGATCACATCTGCCAGTTCTTTTAATACTCTTGGATGCAGTTCATCTGGCCCTGGAGACTTGAATACATCTAAACTAGCCAAGTATTCTTGTAGTATCTCCTGCACATTCCTTGAGGACTGACTTTGCTGCTCGTCTTCATATACCTGATCGACTGTAATGAGGGAGAGATCCTCAAATGGAGTCTGCTCTTCGTCTTCCATGCTAGGGGAGAGGACCTCAAAGCGATTGTGTATTTCTAAACAATCAGAGCGAACCCTGGGCCTCCTACTTCTTTGAGTCACGTTTCTCCATATATCTGGCACCTGTGTTGGTGAACTAGCCTCCTTTTCAGGGGAGTCCCCTGTCTCCTCCTTGGTGGAGACGGTGTGCTCTGTTGCTTCCAAGAAGAGCTCCAGCTCTCTAATTCTTTGGAGCGTAGCTACACGTTCCTCCAGTTGCTGGACTTTGTCTTCTAAGAGGGCAATCAACATGCAATTGCTGCAGGTAAAGCTGCCTGCAACCTTTGGCAAGATGGCAAACATTGCGCAGGAACCGCAGGTGACTGCAGCTGTTCCCTCCCCCTCCATCTTGAGAACGTGTCGTTGGGGGTGGCTACAGCGGTCCTCCATCATAAAAAGCGTGAAGACAGGACAAATAACTCCCCCCCCAAAAAACCCCTAGGTCTCCCCCAACAAACGTTTGAGACTAGCTCCCCTAAATCTAAAAGATGGATCAAGCTGCGCGCGCCGTTGCCCTGCAAGCTCTGATAAGCTCCTCCCACAGCTAATCACCTGCCTCAACAGAAACCCTGCCCCCTCTGACCTTTGCACAGGGAGAGCAGCTAATCAGCCACAAAGAAACATACACACAAGAAAACCCTTTTTGCTCCTTCTTCAGCTGCTGCCCTGCAAGCTCTCACTTTTTTATTTGTTATTCCAGTGCATTAAAAAGAGCATTTCTGCCTTTGAATGCATCTGCATAAATTCTGTATCATAATATTCTGTATCATATCGTACTGAAAACTCACACATCTTTCTGGTTTATGATTTGCTGTATGTGAGCTACTGCACTCCCAGCCTTTTTAGGCACAAATTATAGCCTGTGCACTGTTTGCGAGGGGTGGGGTGGGCTCCATGTTGGGATGCAGACATACTATTATAGAATATCTTATAAGGGCTCAACCTTGTTTTATAAAGGGTTCCTTCCAGCAAGCAAGGTTCAGGTTAGTTCAAATACGGTGTGTTGCCATGACGACTTATAAATGCTTACCCTTATTACATACAGTATTTCTCAGGCTCATTTTAAAGTGTTCAGAACATTGTATACCTCAGCAATACTTGGAACAGTCTTGTCTTGTAAGGTAGGTCAGTATAGTAATTTAATTCACTGAAATCGTAAATGCTTAGATTACTAAGTGTTTAAAATTGGTTGGTAACTGAATTCTAGTAGTTCTCATGAGACTGGCTAACATTGGTCACACGGGAGATATCTAGTGAAGGAGACTCTTTTATGTGAAGCAAGATGACTGTGTTTTAGAATCCACTGTGAATACTGCTAAGTTGAATAGAGTGTTGGAATGCTTCTTCTCTGCTGGGAAGAAAGAGAGCAAAGCAGCAGGAGAAGGTGAAAGTGGAAGTCTCTCCTAGGACCTGCAAGGCATGGCCTAATTGAGATACGGAAGGATGCAAAGAGCAGAAAATACATCTGTTTGGACGTCAGAAGAAGAGACTGTAAGTCCATGCTTGGGGAAGCATGTGGCTTTAAATATTATGTTTTAATTCATCTATAAATTTCTGCAAGTAAACTTTTTTTTGAAGTTAAAGTCTGGACATTGTTTTAATTTCCAAAGAAGAGTGGCAGTCATATATACATGATCTGAGCTTCTTGGCTGCATTTTCTCTACCCTGACTTCCACGAGTACATCTATCTCTTGAACTGCAGACTGGGGTGGGGGAATGAGGCTAATAATAGCTTGGCCTTGCACTATCTGATGTGTCCATCGCTGCCACTGGGTTGAATGATGGACTTCTTGCCTCACAGCTCGCTCTCTTCGCTACTAGACTACCGTCAGGGAATACTTTCGACACTGACTTGTCTGTGAAATAAGCTAGTCATTGACCACAGAATCACTGGGCGTTTCTAGGAATTCTAAGCACACACAGCAACTGCATGAGGAAAGCGTGATGTCTGGATGGTTGGCATACTATTGTATGTGAATGGAAGGTAGCTGTGGAATGTGCTGCAAACTCCTCTGTGTTTCAAAGGAAATTTGGTCATAGTGGAAAAGCGATATTTTTGGCTGTTTGTCTGCCCTGACTGATTTTTCTTATCACAAGTTGATAAGTTATGAGAAGCTCCAGAGTGGCTGAGGAAACCCAGCCAGATGGACGGGGTACAAATAATAATAATAATAATAATAATAATAATAATAATAATAATAATTTCACAGGAACAAAGCCCCGGATGCCAATGAACTCATACCCTCTAAGTGTCCCTATTTTCCAGGGACAGTCCTGGAATTACCGAAACTATCCCCATTTCTGATTTGATCCTGGAATGTCCCAGTTATCCATTTTCCTCCCCTCTGCATCTCAAAGAACAGTTAAAACTGGTGGGTGTAGGTGCAAGAACAGAGCCCTTTTAATACTAAAAATAAAATTCCTGCACCAAATGGAGGAACTGGTGAAACTGGCATACAAATCCCTTCCTATAATTTTCAAGGGAAATGTCACAAGACAAATAAGTAAAGATAAGGTCAAGCTAAAGAGGCAAAAGGCTAACTAAACAACCACAAGAGTGGCCAAGAAGCTAAAACAGGAGATTTTTCCTGCAGAGAAAAAGACCTGGGCCAAGCTGACCAGAGGAAGAGCAGATCTGGAGGTCTGAGGGTGGATCCAAGGTCCACAGATCTCTCTTCATAGAAGGTGGTCAGCAGAGCTCAGACAGAGACAGAACCATGAGATGGAGACAGATACTGAAATAGATCTACAGCTTCTGCCTGCAGAAGAAGTAGCCCTTCATCCTCCCTTACTGCTGCCACTGGAACTATAATCACCCCACTGCCACTTCCAGAGACAGATGCAGGCAGAAGTTGCAGATCCATTCCAGATCCATTCCAGCCTTTTATTCTGCCTGCAACTCTTTCTGTCTGCTTCCATTGATCCCCTGTTTGTTTGTTCTTTTTAACATTAGGGTGTGCCTGGTACCTGGTCAGTGCTTCTTATGAGTAAACAGACACTCCCACTTCCTCTTCAGTCTTTCAGCCCAATTTCCCTTCATATGCTGAAAAGACTGAAGAGGAAGTGGGGAGATCTGTTTACTCATGAGAAGCACATACTGGGCAACAGTTGTCATTGTCACACGGTGCAAGTTGAGTAATATTTCCATGAGTAAGAATCTTCACAATAATCTTTCAAAATACAGCCACTTGCAGATATGGAAGAAAATGACATAGATCTGGAAAGACAAGTTCTGCTACTTAGGTTGTAAACATATTTCATTGATGAGGGAGTATGCTAGATGGTTAGTTCAGGGATGCTTTAGTTGAGAACCTGCATTGCAGGAGCTTAGACCCTCGGGGTCCCTTCCAACTCTACAATTCTCTGATTCCATGATTCAGCCCTTCAGGTGTTGCTAGACTCCAGCTCCCATCATTCTTGACCGCCAGTCATGCTGTGATCACACAGGTGGGGCTTACCTGGGCCCCCCATATTTTATTCAAGTTGGCACTGCTGGGGAGCAAGATCTCTTTGCGTGTTAATGCTGTGAGTCCTTCCATCTTTTGCTCAGCTGAGGTCTAATCCACCCATGAGGCAAGATGAGGTGACCACCTTGGAGATATGAGAACCATTTTCAAGGGCTCTCAAGGGCTGTCATACTGGAGAGGGAACAAGCTTGTTTTCTCCTGCTCTGGAGGGTAAGAATCGAACCAATGACTTCAAGTTACACGAAAGAAGATTCCAACTAAACATCAGGAATAGCTTTCTGACAGTAAGAGCTGTTTGACAGCTCTTTGGAGGTTTTTAAGCAGAGGTTGAATGGCCATCTGCCATGGATGCTTTAGCTGAGATTCCTGCATTGTAGGGGGTTGGACTAGATGACCCTTGGGGTCCCTTCCATTTCCATAATTCTATGACTTCAGATGGCAGGATTCACAGGAGCAACAGATCCAGCCTCCAAGGAATGCAGAGCATGTGGATCTTTATTCCCTGCTTGTTTCTGATGTAGATTTTCTGTCCTCCCTTGTTTCTGATGTAGAGCTTCACTCACCCCTTCTTCCCTGGGGAGGGCACCATTTTGTGGTTCACCTCAGGTGCCAAAATGTCTTGGGCCGGCCCTGGCTCAGCCTGGATAGATGTGTAAATAAAACTATATATCATCAACACCATTGTCTCCAGTGATCTTCATTCAAAAGAAACAAAAGCTGAGGCATGTCTTGGCACCCCTGAAGTCACTCACCACTCAGAGATTTCGGTATGAATAACAATATTGCGGTGTTGTCATTTCCCATTCCCTTTTATTAGCAAGGCAGCAAAATTAAATCAGCTCTTCCAACTGACCCCTGCCAATCGTATGACTGTATGACAGTCCAATGCATATTTGCTCAGGAACAAGCTTCAGTAAACATAGTAGAACTTACAACAAACATGCGTAGGACCATGATTTTTTTTCTTTCTTCAATGACAATGTTTATTGTTTGGCCATAAAAAATGTTACTTGATGAAACCTTTAAAAAGCAAGCAAACGAAACAGGACAACTAAATTTATTAGCAAAGTTAAAAAACAACAACTTTCCCCCCAAAATAGTTATTCTCTCATTTCTCCATCTTCTTCTTCTTCTTCTTCTTCTTCCACACCCCTTATATAAAGGACATTATTGCACCTTATCAGAACTTCACCAAGGTGTCCAGATAATGCACCATCAATATATTCTTCTGTACTTGCAAGCTGCATGTTCATGTAGCCATCGACAGAGACGAGGTAGCCTTTGTATTCCATCCCCCACTTCAGCTTCACTGCGAGTAATTTTTTTGTTGCTGCAACCGCCCTTAGGTTGGTCTGGTTGCTATGAGTCTGCCTCTCAAACCATGATTTTTTTCTTTAAAAAAATGTTTGGGAGTCCTCTCCTTTTCCTACTCATATTGAAATACTGCCCCTCAATGAGGCCAAACGTAGATTCACAAAATGTTTAGGGGTATGCGTCCCCCTGCGTCCCCCCAGGAAAAAAGCACTGCATAGGACCAAGCTCTAATTAACTGAATGACCAATAAAGCAATTAATACTTTCTACCCTACAGGATAGAGAAATGTCACTCACTTGTCATTAATAGCAATTTTCATTGCAACAGCTGAACCAGCTCCAGTTGTGATCTATTTTGCTGGGCATTTGTTGCTTTTGAACCACACCTATTTAAAAGTCATTGGTTTTTTCCTGCAATTGCTGTAAGTCCTGCTTATTCACAGCAATTGGTTAAACCCTGGACAGGACTATATTGAGAGCCAGTCCTGTATGTGGCTGTGTGCTGCAAAACATTGCTTCTTTTGTTTCAGAGCTCATCATGTATGCCTTGAGGAAATATTAATCCTCATTTCTCTTTGGGAACACAGAAATGAACCATGAGTATCTGGCACCAAATCAAAAAACATGATCTACCAACTCAATGTGTTTATCAGTAAGAACTCTAAGTTATTTCTAATCACAATGGGAGTTTTTGTAGAACCACCCAAGGTTCCTGATGTTGCCAATATTGGCACAAGGAGCCCCATTGACTTCCCTGTTTGAATGTGTCTATTGACAACACAGGAATTGAAGAATGGGTAGATAAACACGTGCAGAAACTGGCACATGGAATAAGTAGAAAGGACATAAGAGAAACAGAGAGAGCCCTTGAACAAAGCACTTTTTAAGCAGAAGGCCAGCAATGGTGCGAAAACATGACAGGGAAAGGATCTTTATTAAGGCAGAGACTCAGCAGCAGACAGCTAATCCAGTCCCCGAGCTCTAACAAGGTGAAGGCTTAACAATAGGGCTGGCCCACCAGTGAGGCAAAATGAGGCAACCACCTCGGGTGGCAGGATCTACAGGGGCAGCAGATCTGGCTTCCCAGGAATGCATCACCCACTGCTGTTGCTGGTTCCACAGTGGCAGCAACGGCTGTGGCGCACTCCTTGGAGGCAAGATCTGCTCCCTCCTTGGCAGCTCCCTCCATGCCGCCTCTACAACCTCCTTCCCAATGTAGATCTTCACTTCTCCATGTAGATCTTTATTCCCCACCTTATTCCTGATACAGTATAGCTCTTCACTCACCCCTTCTTCCCTGGCACGTGGAGTGGTGATTTGTGGTTTGCCTCAGGTGCCAAAATAGCTTTGTCCAGCCCTAGTTGATGTGGTTGGGCCCAGTCTAGGAGCAAGAGCCAAGGTTCATGGCTTTGGGGTAGTTTTAAGATGTTCAAGGCTGCACAACAGCTGATAAGTTGTCCCATTAGGTTTACCACACCCACCTGTCAAGCTGCAAAGGGCAGGTGGGCACAACCCTTACTCACGAGAGTCTCTATTCCAGCATGAGCAGCTGGATTGCAAGAGGGCATCTGGCCCCTCCTCCTGTGGCGCTGCCTGGGAGAGAGCCCCAGCCCTCCTTCGTCCCCGCCCTGCTTGGCACCCCATGCTCAGAGGCCTCCCCGGATTCTGACAATGCTTTCTCCCTTTGGGAGAAGTGGGTATAGGAAGTCCTGCCTCCACACTAGGGCGAGAGGGGATTGCGGGGAAGGGAGGGACTTGCATCTGCTTCCCTCTCCCTCCATAGTTTGCCATTCCAGGTCTGAGCCCAAAGATGCCAAGGGAGTAACGACAAACTGGAAGTATAGCTGGTGTCATAGGAGGAGAGGGAATGCCAACCCAGAAAACGACCTGGCCTAGGCAACCCCTCATGAACCTCACCAGAGTGCAGTTCCCTGCCATGGTGCTTATTCGAAATATTGCCTGGAGAGGCATGTTTATTCTGGATTAGTGGTTTTCATGCATGCAAGATTTTTGCAGCATCCGCACAATCTTGTGGTCATCAGAATGCCAACCTATATCCCTCACCTGATTTATTCTCTCTGGGAGAAATCTTGTAAGTGAAAAACAATCTGTTGCCAACTACCCATTTGCAATCTTTCCGTCACTGCTTACAATATTAAGCCCTTGTCTGGAACCATCCTTTGGCAGAGGGGACTACATGGTTTGTGAGCAAACCCTTTGGTAATAAACCACTTTGTACCTTTGCCTGAATTCCAGCCAGTCAAGATGGGTTCTTTCAGCTGCTGTTTTGACTTGGATAGATACTATTAATTACTTCCTCATAAAACTTTTGAAACATTATTCCTGGAAGTGGAAATGCCAAATCATGGTTGTGTTTGAGGCCAAAGAGAAGAGAGATGGAGTGTTGTTTAGTACCAGTAATAATATCCCAAACAGAGATTCTTCGTGGCAGAGCTTAAAAGGAGTGCTGCCTTGAGTAGTAGACCTACCACTGGTCAGTGCTAAAGGCAGGACTGACAAGTGAAATTTTCCCTTTGAGAATCCTCAAACCTGTTTCCCCAGGACTGATCAGGAAGGCTTCCTATTATTTACATTTTGTAAATAATAAATTCATTGGAAGTAAATCCTATTAGTTTCAAATGAGTGAAACCAAGCTTGCATCTTTACTTTATAAAGGAGGGAGGCCAAGGGTACAAGCGAAATAATCCCAGATTGTGATCTTTACTTGGAAATACCAATTAAATCACTGACATCACTTGGTTTCATGAAAGAAAACCTCTGGTATTCCAGAGCTTAGTGAGAAGTGTGGCCTACCTAAAATCTCTGATGGGTCAGGCAGTGGGGTGGAAATCTTGTAGTCTTCATGTGCATTTTTTTCCAGACACAGTCTTAATGAGCAAAATCCCAAGCCATTCACTTCCCCACTTACATGTAGCATAAAAACCTTTTACATACCAGGCTCTGTCTGGTCTCTGTCTTGAGTTCTGTCTCCCTTTCTCCTACTACCAACATATCCCTGCTGTCTCAGAAGTACCTTTTGTTGTTAATTTGTCATTTTGTTATGCAAAATGGCCCTATTCCTTTTATCTTGTTGGACAACAGAGTTCTTGTTAATGGCCTTCAGTGGTCAGTGGCTACTCCATACCAGTGGAATCTGAATCACACTCCTGCTGTCTGTATAGAATTGAAAAGGATCCTATCTTGAACTGGGCCAGAGAAAAATATTTCAGAGTTGTCACTAGGAGTGCATTCATATGTCCATCCCACCGAATCCAGGTGAGTGCCTGTGGGCTGAATAAGAAAGTGAGGTTTGGCTGCACACACAGAAAGCTTTTTTTGCCTACATCATAGTAGTAATCAGTGTCCAGGCCACCTGGAATTGGGAGAAAGTTCATGAAAGGAAGAAACTGAGACATCCTGGAGTAGGTTGCATGTGTGTTGGGCAACATCTCAATGCAATCATTAATTGAAGGGATTATGGGAGCTGCAATTTAGCAATATTTTGAAGGGCATGTTGTGCGGTCATCTTTAAAATATTTTTGTAGGAATATTTACATACGCACATAAAACTTTGTGATGATTATCTAAAGAATATTGCACAGTAACCCTCAAAGCATAAATTATAGGAGTGTTTGCGCAGTCATTTTCAAACGATTGTTATAGGAATATTTACATATGCACATAAAACTTGGTGGTGATTATCTAAAGAATATTGCACAGTAGCCCTCAAAGCATAAATTATAGGAGTGTTTATATAAAGAGGCAATTACTTATAGGTGTGTCGCATGAGGGTTTAAGAATTGCAAGCACTCTGTCACAGTGGTTCCAATGTTTCCTGCAGGTTGTTTTCAGGAGGTGGTGCAATATGATTTCTGTCTGAAACCTTGCTGTTTGGCTGTCCTCCAATGCTGCTAAATATTGATATTGCACATGCAGGGCAGTGGCAGGGAAGTGGGTTCAGCTGCCTGGCCAAATCTTTCTGCCTGCTGCCCCCCATGGGTTAGGTGTGACAAGCAGGCATCTGACAGGTGGGCAGGGTGGGCTAACCCACCTCCACTTGTCACTTGCTTCACATCACAATGCCATCAGGGAGTCTACTGCACAGTGTGCCATAAAACCTGACAACCAGCTGATCCATGTGGCTTGCAAAGAAAGGTGCTTTCCAGGTGCTGACCATCAACCCTTTTTGGCATAGCCATGCCTTTCCCTGCTCTACATATGTGCCACTATCACATTCCCAGTTCAAGTTGGCTGCAACCCTCCCCCAGGTGTTGTTGGACTCCTGTCAGCCTGAGTCAGCCTGCCCAAAGAAGGGAATGGCCGCCGGGAGGAGCACAACCAGACACATGGGCTTAGCCAGGGGGTGGGTGGGGGGCAATTGCCCCCCATCAAAACAAATCAATGCAAATTTCAGTTTCTGCTCTCCCTAACAAAAGATTGGCCCCCTTCATCTGCCCCAACTGCAATGAAACATGTACCTCCCTTATCAGTCTCTGCAACCACAGCAGGCGCTGTAACTCTGTACAGTAATGGTTTGACTTCACCCCCCGAAGGTGCACTCCTCCATTGTCTCTGGAGACAGACGGGGGGGGGGGGCAAGAACAACAAATGGACAGATGCAAGTAATAATAACCTTCAAAGGTGACCCGGAAACTGCAATTAATCCAGAATGCGGCAGCTAGACTGGTGACTGGGAGTGGCCACTGGGACCACATAACACCGGTCCTGAGAGATCTGCATTGGCTCCCAGTACGTTTCCAAGCACAATTCAAAGTGTTGGTGCTGACCTTTAAAGCCCTAAACGGCCTCGGTCCAGGATACCTGAAGGAGAGCCTCCACCCCCATCGTTCAGCCCGGACACTGAGGTCCAGCACCGAGGGCCTTCTGGCAGTTCCCTCACTGCGAGAAGCCAAGTTACAGGGAACCAGGCAGAGGGCCTTCTCGGTAGTGGCGCCTGCCCTGTGGAACGCCCTCCCAGCAGATGTCAAGGAAATAAGCAGCTATCTTATCTTTAAAAGACATCTGAAGGCAGCCCTGTTCAGGGATGTTTTTAATATTTAATGCTGTATTGTTTTTAACACTCGATTGGGAGCCGCCCAGAGTGGCTGGGGAAACTCAGCCAGATGGGCGGGGTATAAATAATAAATTATATTATTATTATTATTATTATTATTATTAGGAAGTGAAATGAAGCAAGAAGATATATACACACACACATATATATATTTATATATTTGGTAAGGGACGCGGGTGGCACTGTGGGTTAAACCCCAGAGACTAGGACTTGCCGATCAGAAGGTCGGCGGTTTGAATCCCTAAGACAGGGTGAGCTCCCGTTGCCCCTGCCAACCTAGCAGTTCGAAAGCACGTCAAAGTGCAAGTAGATAAATAGGTACCGCTCTGGCGGTAAGGTAAACGGTGTTTTCGTGTGCTGCTTTGGTTCGCCAGAAGCGGCTTAGTCATGCTGGCCACATGCGGACAAACTGCGGACAAACGCCAGCTCCCTCGGCCAATAAAGCGAGATGAGCGCCGCAACCCCAGAGTCGGCCACGACTGGACCTAATGGTCAGGGGTCGCTTTACCTTTTCCTGTGTAAATTCCCTTTACCTGTGCAAATTCCCCAGCAGCCTGCACTTTCCAGCCTGTGCCCAACGCGGAAGGTCCCTTTCCAACCCCTCCATCCTCAAGAGATCCGAAGATGGAGACCTCAGCCGACCCCGCTGGGCGCTCTCCAAGACCCGTAAACTTAGCGAGCGAGCGAGCCAAGCAGGACAGGAGGCCCCGCCCCCCGCCCGCTCTCTCTTTTGCATATGGCCTCCGATTGGCCGGCGCCCCTCGGGCCACGTTCGTGGCGGCGCTCCCTCTGCCGCCGGCCTTCTTTATCAACCAAGCGCCCGACCCGGACATCTCGCCGCCGCTTCCCTCGCGTCTCTGCGCGTGCGCGGCTCCTCGCCGCCTCCTCCTCAGCCGCTGCCGGGTCGGGACGGGAAGGCGGCGGCCGGGATGCCGGGCGGCGAGGGCGGCGAGGGCGGCTGGAGCGTGTCGTTCGCCGGCTGCGGGTTCCTGGGCGTCTACCACGTCGGCGCCGCCAGCTGCCTGCAGGAGAGGGCCCCGCACCTGATCCGCGACGCCCGCCAGGTGTGCGGGGCCTCGGCCGGAGCCCTGACCGGAGCCGTCCTCGTCGGAGGCGGGTCGCTGGGTACGAGCGAAGGGGACGCGCCTGCTCCTCGCTGGTCTCGGGGCCTCTTTCCCCTCATCGCTGGGCTTTTCTCTTGCAATTATTACTATTCTGTAATTTTATTCATATTTTATAATCATATTATTTGGACGGGCAAACGAGGCAGTAATAGCAGAACAGTCGTGACAGCAGGGAGAATAACCTGGTAATTGCAATAATCGCAGCAAAAGCTTTTTTTTTTTTTTAATTAAAGAACGAAGGAGCGGCCGTGAGCTGCATCCCGTAGCTTAATGCAAGGTTTGCTTTTTTTGCACCGGACGTACGGAGTTGTTCTTTTAATTACGATTTATGTATCCGATTCGTTAGGCGCTTTTATGTTGCCCGTGGCAACCCAGAGTGGCTTCCAGCTCAACCAGCCGCTGGAGGGCGTGGGCCAGGGATATACTTTATTGCTTATTCAGTTTATTAGGCGCTTTTATCTTGCCCAGGGGCGACCCAAAGTGGCTTACAGCTCAAAGAAACGGACCCTTGAGGGTGTTCGCCCTAAATATGGAGGAGGGGTGTGTGTGTGTTTGTGTTTGAGGCTGTTGAAAGGGGAGCAAGGCTGCAAATGTCGGAATGGAAGTGCCCAGAATCTGGATCTAGGATCCGAAGCTCAACTCAGGTCCTAATAATGATGGAGAGAGTAACTCTGAATATACGGTGAGGTGCTTGTGCAGCACAGTCTTAGACAGGTGGGAACTTGTGACTCAGCCATGTCTTCCTTTAATACAGGATTGAGCCCAAATGCCTCTCATTAGAAATCAAACACTGACTTCTAATGGTGGGAAAAGTTATGCCTTTTTGTGCTCAATTAACGGAGTCATTGCTGGGTTGTGCAGTGGCTCGGTTAATTTCATTGTACACATTGACAATAAAGGTATTATTATTATTTTCTCTCTTGAATTGGCAGACTGCCCTTTGTACCTCAGTTTTCGAACGTTTCGGAAGTCAAAAGGTCTTCCAGAACGGATTACGTTGGAAAACCGAGGTACACAAATAGTGAAGTCAGCTATGCACCTGCAAGCAGATAAAACTCTTGCCAATTTCCCATCAGATTTCCATTTTAGCAAAGTTTTCCAGCTAGACTTCCAGGATTTCCCTGCTCTGCACTCAGTCTTTTTTTCCTCACACGCACAGCGGGTGTCTGCCTAGGAAACCTATCACAGTAACATACTAGGACCAAGCCATTGATCATCATGTTGATGACCTGGTTAGTGGGGTAGAAGTGGAAGGATCATTAGGCGCAAGTGATCATGCTCTTCTGAAGTTTACTATACAGCGGAAAGGAGCAGCCAAGCATACTAGGACTCAATTTCTTGACTTTAAGAAAGCCGACTTCATAAAACTTAGGGAAGTGCTGGGTGAGATCCCATGGACAGTAATACTAAAAGGAAAGGGAGTTCATGATGGCTGGGAGTTTGTTAAGAGGGAGATAGTAAAAGCACAACGTCAGGCAATACCAATGAGACGGAAACATGGAAGGTGCCTAAAGAAGCCAGGGTGGCTATCTAAAGAACTTTTAACTGAGTTAAGATTAAAAAGGATGTGTACAAAAATGGAAAAGGGGGAAACCACCAAAGAGGAATTCAAACAAATAGCCAGCACGTGTAGACACAAAGTCAGAAAAGCTAAAGCACAGAATGAACTCAGGCTTGCTAGAGAGGTTAAAAGCAACAAAAAAGGCTTTTATGGGTATGTTCGTAGCAAAAGGAAGAACAAAGAAACAGTGGGGTCGCTCAGAGGAGAAGATGGTGAAATGCAAACAGGGGACACAGAAAGGGCTGAACTCCTCAATGCCTTCTTTGCCTCAGTCTTCTCCGATAAAGAAAACAATGCCCGACCTGAAGAATTTGGAGCACGTTCTTCAGTAGAGGCATCATTTCCAGAGCAACTTATGAGCTAGTAGAATCATGGTTGCCCTCCTCTGGACACGTTCCAGTTTGTCAGTGTCCTCCTTGAACTGTGGTGCCCAGAACTGGACACAATACTCCAGGTGAGGTCTGACCAGAGCAGAATACAGTGGCACTATTACTTCCCTTGATCTAGATGCTATATTCCTATTGATGCAGCCCAGAATTGCATTGGCTTTTTAGCTGCCGTGTCACACTGTTGGCTCATGTCAAGTTTGTGGTCAACCAAGACTCCTAGATCCTTTTCACATGTACTGCTCTCAAGCCAGGTGTCACCCATCTTGTATTTGTGCCTCTCATTTTTTGTGCCCAAGTGCAATACTTTACAGTTCTCCCTGTTAAAATTCATCTTGTTTGTTTTGGCCCAGTTCTCTAATCTGTCAAGGTCATTTTGAAGTGTGATCCTGTCCTCTGGGGTGTTAGCCACCCCTCCCAGTTTGGTGTCATCTGCAAATTTGATCAGGATGCCCTTGAGTCCATCATCCAAGTCGTTGATAAAGATGTTGAATAAGACCGGGCCCAAGACAGAACCCTGTGGCACCCCACTAGTCACTCTTCTCCAGGATGAAGAGGAACCATTGATGAGCACCCTTTGGGTTCAGTCAGTCAGCCAGTTACAAATCCACTGAGTGGTAGCATAGTCAAGACTACATTTTACCAGCTTCTTTACAAGAATATCATGGGGCACCTTGTCAAATGCCTTGCTGAAATCAAGGTAGGCTACATCCACTGCGTTCCCTTCATCTACCAGGCTTGTAATTCTGTCAAAAACGAGATCAGGTTAGTCTGACATGACTTATTTTTCAGAAATCCATGCTGACTATTGGTGATCACAGCATTCCTTTCTAGGTGCTCACAGACTGTTTGCTTAATGATCTGCTCCAGAATCTTCCCTGGTATTGATGTCAGACTGACTGGGCGGTAATTATTTGGGTCCTCTCTTTTCCCCTTTTTGAAAATAGGGACAACATTTGCCCTCCTCCAGTCTGCCGGGACTTCGCCTGTTCTCCAGGAATTCTCAAAGATGACTGCCAGTGGTTCTGAGATCACATCTGCCAGTTCTTTTAATACTCTTGGATGCAGTTCATCTGGCCCTGGAGACTTGAATACATCTAGACTAGCCAAGTATTCTTGTACTGGAACGTGTCCAGAGGAGGGCAACCAAAATGGTCAAAGGCCTGGAACCGATGCCTTATGAGGAACGGCTAAGGGAGCTGGGCATGTTTAGCCTGGAGAAGAGGAGGTTAAGGGGTGATATGATAGCCATGTTCAAATATATAAAAGGATGTCACATAGAGGAGGGAGAAAGGTTGTTTTCTGCTGCTCCAGAGAAGCGGACATGGAGCAATGGATCCAAACTACAAGAAAGAAGATTCCACCTAAACATTAGGAAGAACTTCCTGACAGTAAGAGCTGTTTGACAGTGGAATTTGCTGCCAAGGAGTGTGGTGGAGTCTCCTTCTTTGGAGGTCTTTAAGCAGAGGCTTGACAACCATATGTCAGGAGTGCTCTGATGGTGTTTCCTGCTTTGCAGGGGGTTGGACTCGATGGCCCTTGTGGTCTCTTCCAACTCTATGATTCTATAACCAGTGATTAAACTGACCAAACTTGCCACAAGATTATAGGGTAGGGTGGGTACCAATATGTTGATGAGAAATGATATAGAATCAGTGACCAGTCGTTAAGAGAGTATATATTGGTGTGTACCGGTACATATGAAGCTATCTACTGCTTAGGTTAGGGATGGGGAATCTTTGGCCTCCAGATGTTGCTAGAATAAAACTCATCATACCTAGCCATTGACAGTGCTTTGGCTGATGACAGTTGGAGTCCAACAACATCTGGAAAGCCATAGATTTCCCATAGGTTTGACTAAGGGTCAAACACTTGTGACAATGCAATATTAGAAACTTCCATTTATTTTAAAAAAAGGTTTGTGTGTGGTGATTTTCATCTCAGCCATAGGCAGGGAAAGTTTAATCCTTCCCATAATCCCAACATCAATCAGTACCATTACCACTGCACACTATTGTTATTAGTTTGTAGTCCTTGTAGACCTGAAGGAACATCTCCACCCCCATCTCTCAGCCTGGACATGGAGGTCCAGCTCTAAGGGCTTTCTGATGGTTCCCTTACTGCGAGAAGCGAAGTTACAGGGAATTAGACAGAAGGCCATCTTGGTAGTGGCATCCGCCCTGTAGTATAGATGTCAAAGAGATCAACTATACGACTTTCCGAAGATAGGAAATATATAGGGAAGCTTGTTCATGCTTAATAGTATATCTGCAAACCACAACATTGGATATTGGTTAGTTCTTATACTCACCAAACTAAAGATACCAAAGATCCTGAAGGAAATGGAAGTTCTTATTATTCTTCAATTGAGAATACACCTATTGGCAAATATAATTAGCTTTATTGTTGAATAATTTAACATGGCAGTTCTTACCTTCTTAAAAGAATTATGAAGATGAGCTTTTGTCTCTATGTATAGCCTGTACAGGCTGTTCCCTGCTGTTTTTTAAATTTTGTGTGTAAATGTATTTCAGTATAATTGGTTAAAATACAGAACAGCTCAAAGTTTTAGTACAAAGCTTCTTTATTTACTCATTACTCTGTTTGCTCCTCTCACAAGAGGGGGAAAACCTAATATACCAGAAGGAATATGAAATCCTAATATTTACCAAGTGGAGTTATGCTGATATTTGAGGTTCTGGTCACTCTTAGGGCTTCCTATCCTGCCTCAGATGGAAGTTGCTGTCAGCTTTTGTCAGTCATCTTTCACTCCCAACATTCAATATTTATTTCCAAGTGTGTAAGGCACATTGATTTTAAATGACACAATATGGGAGCCTTATTTAGTTAGCTTTAACTTGATTTATCTAAAGCATCTCCTTCCTTGGTGTAGGGTTTAGAGTGTTGCAGTCAAGGCTTAGGTTACCTTTAAAGTGCTTTTCCTCTTCAGTCTATGCCCAGGGAACGCATGGCAAGGTTACAAATCGGGGTGGATTGATGTACGTGTATTTATGAGTATTTCATTTAGTATAAGTCTAGAGATTGGTTAGGAAAATACTGATACACCAGCTAACCCAAATGTGTGGACAAATATTTGTGGATAAGGGAGTCAAAATATATGCCCTGTAACCAGCCCTGGTCAGCAGTCTGACCACAGGCCTTTGGGCCAGTTGAAGTTTCTGAGTGCTATTCAAAGGCAGCCCTATGTTACAGTAATATTTATTAAAAGTCAATCCCTTTCCTCTTGTGCTGTCTCCTAACATGAAATGGCATAATAGCATTTTTGTGAGTTGCAGCATGCTGAATTGTGTGTGAAAATCGTAGTTAAGTACCTTAGAGGATTAAACTCTTATCCGTTGAAATGATGCCTTCACTTTTTAATTAGTGTTCCATTTAACTGAAAGAACATCCTTTCTCAGTGACTAAATATAAACATATGCATATTAGAAAACTTGCTTTGAGCTAAATTAGGTTTTATAGTTTGGGGAAGGGTGTTCAAATTTAGAGCTAAGCATTCCGAAGGACCTGTTCTCCACATTTTATTTTTTATTTGAGTTTTCCTGCATTAGTTAAGAAGTTGTGTGGGCGGATTCTCTTTCACTGTATTTTCCATTGCTAAGTAACAGTTATAATGGTATCCCACATTTAGCTAGATTTTTCTTTGCATCAGATGACATGAGAAAAACTGAGCGGCACCGGGAAGAAAGACTTGGTTGCTTATTGCATAGTGCACAGAATTTGATAAGTACCTCCACCTTTCAAGTCCATGGCCTTTAGTTGAGAGCAAACTATTAAACTGTCAAAATAACTTGTATGGCCCAACCACTTAGATGCACAGGTGACAAGTAAACAGTTTTCAAGCACTGTGTTCAAAACACAGGGAAATACAACCATGGGAAGCTGTACATTTAATTACTGGTAAAAACCCCACCCCCAACACTGCTTCCCACCCCTTCCTTATCCCCAAGTAGGAAAGCCGCTGGTAGAAGTGATTGGTTTTTTATGGCTTACTGGAAAAGGATCAAGTACACCTTCTGTCACTGTTCTGGTAAATTGTGCACCTTTTATGGCATTTTGATGATAGATGTTGATAGACAGACAGTTTGGTGCTTAATGGCTGCAGTGCTATACACCAGGTTTTGGAAAGTGGCTCTTTATATACCTTTGGGCTACAGCTCCCATCATCTCTGACCATTGGGTGGGGCATTGTAGGAACTTCCACAACACCTGGAGTTCCCCATTCCAGGAAGTTAGTCCTTTTGAGCTCAGTGAGGCTGACTTCTGAGTAGGATTGCATAGCTTGGTAAAATGTACGTGTCAATTAGATTTCACCACCAATATCAAAATTAGTATTTTTTTTTGCATTATGAAATGAAATATAAATTCTATGCAAATCTACATTATAATCCAACTTTCGCTGATTGGTAAAAAATGTAATAACTTATTATTTAATTATATTCTGTCTGTATTGACCCCTTCAAGATGTTTCAGCTCTTTCTGTGCCCTGCATTAGTAGGTCAAATTCCTCTTGGAAAGCTGAATTTAACTTCTTTTCTGGGCATGAAATTGATGAGCAAAGGATAAAAAGCAGCCCTCATAAACTGGTAGTAGTAGTAGTTCATTTGCTGTCTTTTGATTGGGTGAGGAAAATAAGCTGAGACTCAGCTGACATGTGGGACGATTAGTCCTCTCCCCTGTAGAGAAGGTTACTGCAGGACATTAACCTATTCCATTTATTGGGCAGCTCTTGGGGAGAGAGAGAGAGAGAAGGAAACGTCTGCTAATGCCTTTAGATTATCAAAGTACCAGCAATGACTGATCTAAAATACAATATTTAGAAAATAGTTTGGGAGTGTACGCTTTTCAGAATAGTTACACAAGTCCTTGGGCAGATAGCAGAGTTTGTTTAATTTGGAAAAGTATTATCTCTTCTAATGAAATGCTGTTATTAAAATGTATTTTCAGGCCACCAATGGCAAATAAATAAATCAGTGAATGGTAAAGATACCTAACATACCTTTAGTATGTCATGGCCCCATATTCTTTTTTTCCTTATTTACTTATTACTGTATTAGAGTTTGGATACTTGCCAGTTGACTGGTCAAATAATGTCAATTGACTGGTCAATTCATTGAGGTCAGATATTCCCTGACAGCGATGATGCTGTTGACATTTGAAGAACTGGCCTGCTGTCACAACTTAGCATAACTACATTTCAGAATCTATTTTTTAATAGTTGAAATGACTTTGATTTTTTGTTTGTTTTAATCTTGTAACTTCAGGCTGACCCTGTCAAAGATAGAAACTATCTGGGAAATTGTTCACTCACCTAATACAGATAAAAGTTGTAATAATTTGTTTTTTGAAAGGTTATAGCTTGTGCTATGAACTCATGCTGAGTTTCAAAGGCACACCATGGTCAAGACCCCACTCCTGATGGCTCCTTCTGATCACAATTTTTTTGTTTTGTGACCCCTGACATCTGTTTTAACCAATTTGGTTTCCACAATTACATGCAGTAATGTATCTTTCAGCTGAAGCTTGTGCAGATGTTCTGGGTCTAGCCAGAGAAGCAAGAAAGCGAAATCTTGGCCCTCTTCATCCTTCCTTTAACGTGATGAAGATTATAAGGGATGGACTTTGCAAAAATCTTCCTGAAAACACTCATCAGTTGATATCAGGGAAACTTTCCATTTCACTTACCAGAGTGTCTGATGGCAAAAATGTGTTGGTATCCAACTTTAATTCCAAAGAAGAAGTCATACAGGTATATTCTCATTTTAACCATGTTTAGAATAATGTTCAGAATATTTCACAATTGTCTCAACCTTATTTTTAATTTGTTTCCTCATATTCATTTTTAGAACATTTGAAAATGGCTGTGTTAGAGCTTTACTTTGGGGAAATTTTCCTATTAGAAATGCAGTGTGCAAGTAACCTTTCTTTTCTTTCTGACAGGCTTTGCTTTGTAGTTCATTTGTGCCTATATATTGTGGCCTCATCCCACCTTCGTTTAGAGGGGTGGTAAGTACCTGCTCATTCTTCCATACTACAAACCAGCATGAGAAGGCTGATGATGATGATAGAAAAGGTGGGAAGATGTAAATCTTGCCATTCTGATGTCTGCTTTGCTGTGTGTCCTTCATATACATGGCAAAAAATTAGTTCCAGGACAGCTTCATGTGAGAGATAAGAGACTGAAATGCTGTCTTTACAAAATAAGTCATACAATGTAATGTAACAGCTGTTTTAAGGAAACTGGATGTTAATTCTTTAAAAATAAAATCTATTTGGGGCATTTGTTTTTATTCTTCTTGTGCATCAATTTGAAGACGGAAGAACTAAGGAAATAGGATGCCTCTATTGGCACACAATGTATGTAGGGTGCCACATTTCATGATATTGTATGAAGCAGAAGCGTGTGCCTCCTGCTTGGCCATGTTGTCCTATTATTAGGAATCTGTGAACCATCCTTGGAAGTTCATTGTATGCAAATCTCTTTATTTGTGCACTCCATGGAGCACACATATCTCTACATGAATATGTTACATGGTACATATGCACATAGATTTAGCAATACAGACACACAGTAGCTTGGGCTTGTATGTGTTGGTTGAGAACTGTCTTGCAGAGTACCAGAAGAAGCGATCTTAAAGATGAGAAGCTAATTGTTATCCTCTTAATTGTTTTAAGGTCCTTTCTTAAGCAGTGTATTTCAAGGCCTTACGTAGAACTTGAGGAATCCTATTAAAGGCTGCCTGCATCTTAGTTGAAAGGAAGCATGGAGATGTTGATCTTTGCTAGTGTGGTTTTGCCCTCCTACTTTAGTAATAAGAAAAGAAAAATGATTCAGGTCAAGTATGTGCACATTCCAGATGGTTAAAAAATAGTGCTAATATTCATGTGAAAGCTTCATGTGACTTTTTTTTTACTTCAAAATCAAAACTACAAAGAATAACAGTCTGTGATTTAGTGATTTTTTTTTGAAAAGCCTGCTGATCTAGATTTTTTATAAGTCATATATTCATCCATTTTTACTCTTTAAAAGCTGAAATCCTATATGAGGTGCAAGGTAGCATATTAGACTAAATCCATGGTTCAGGTTAATCTGGTTGCTTTGCCCTCGTGGCTGGACAATTATGTTACCTAAAAGGATTTAGTTGGGTGACAAACATGAGACATGCCTGAAAGCCTACTTAATTTTATGAATTGGCTTTGCTACTCAGTATTGGCATAGAAACAAAACTATAGAAGGATGTGTGCAGATCGTGCAGAAGCCTGCAGTTCTCACACGCAATCCTGACATCTCCTATTTGGAATCTTTTGACGCAGAGGCCCTGAGAGAATTTGGTGCCCTGAGAGTTAACAAGGACAACAAAGATAGATCTAAATTAAATTTTATTGTATCAAAAGGAGAATTAGTAAATATGATAATCAGTAAACAACACACTAACAGTAGGCTAGGTTTGCAAGAGTTTTACATGAATAAAAGAGATTGAGCAGGAAACGAGTGTGAGAGGAGACTGTTGCCTGGATGAGGGAAGAGATTGGCTGAAAGGGTGAAGGTGGTACCAGATGGAAATGGGTGCTGCCTTGCTCTAGAGAGAGAAGGGGAGGTGGCAAGGGAAGAAGGTAGCTTGGAGGGGTTTGCGGAGCTACAGGAAAGTTCTTTAGGTAAGAATCTGAAGAATCAGGTGGGATACTTTTGGGTGGCAATGGGTCGCGAGGGAAGGAGAATATGAGGTTGTTGGTATGAGACGGCCAATGAAGAAGAAAAGGGCATAGCAAGAGGAAGAAAGAGCAGGTCTGGCTGGGAAACAGGGACCGATTGGGCTGGAAAGAGGGGGAAAGTAAGAATTTGGCCAGCTGGCTAACTTGTTAGGGAAGAGAGAAGGGGGGAGGTTCTGAGAGGCTGGGGTTTGCTATAGTGAAGGTGAAGGGACCTCTTCAGCAACAGAAAGGGAATAGAGACAGGAAAGGAGAAGGGACAGGTAGAGTCCACGGGAACCTTCCTGTGCAGTGACGTAAGGTATCTTTGAAACCTGAAAGATTCGTACCTGTTAAGGTGAAAAGCATCACCCTTTATGCTCAAGTTGGACTTAAAAATAAAAACAAAGACTGCAAATCCTGTCTTCCTGGCTATGACCAGAGGTTAAAGTTTTTAAGTGGCACCAGTCAGGAAGAAATTGTCCTAAGTGTCTGAGAAATGGCTTCTAAAATGCATTTTCATTGTGCTTTCCAAGTGAGATATGGATCTCACTTTGGCTTATTGAAATGACTTGATTAGTAATTGTGGGGAGGGGGAGGATGTGACATTTGGGGTTATCATACAGTCATTTAACAATTCTAGAAGGAGTTTGATGTTGTTTTATTTAACTTTAAAATTACAAATGATAAAGGAGGGTGGCAGATAATTTACAGGAAAGGAAACAGCAGTCAGTAGCTGGAGGTGTCTCCTCTCAGCTTGCTTGAAATGTGGTCTGCCTGAGTTGCTGTAATGACTGTAATGGAGGCTCTCTCTAGGGCTCTCCTGGCCAAAACCTAACAGCTTCCTTGGGTATAGGCAACCTTAGCAAAAGCTGGATTTTTAAGGCTCATTTCTATCAAGAGTATGCCCTTTGCTCAAAGTAGGGTGAACATTGGAACCTTGGTTGGGGAAGGGGCAGGGTGAGAAGAATGTGAGCCCTATGAAACACAAAAGAGAGTTGTATATTTCCTTCCTAATGTTTTCACCAGGGCTGAATTTTGCCTCTTAAGTATGGTGCACACCAAAAGAGAGCCCATAACATTGATTCCAATGTTGCAGAAGCTGCTGGGCAGCATATAATCTGGGATGTGCACCTGCACATTTTCAGACATTACTTGCAATCTTGGGTGCACAAAGCTCTGTTGCTGTTCTGAGCAATGGCTTGTGTTGGGTCAGTACCTGCTCACATATAATACTACCACTGAAAGGTGTGGCAAGTGGAATTACTAGGCTTCCTTTCTGAAGTTGAAGAGCAAGTCAGCTAAATTTTGCTTTAAGCAAATAGATTCCTTATCTTTCTTTCTTCTTCCCTTCCCAAAGCGCTACGTCGATGGTGGAATAAGTGACAACTTACCTCAGTATGACTCAAAAAACACCATTACAATTTCACCTTTTGCTGGGGAGTGTGACATTTGTCCCAAGGGCAATTCTGCAAACTTCCATGAAATGAATTTCACCAACACCAGCATTCAGTTTAGCCTAGGCAACATCTACCGTTTAACTCAAGCACTTTTTCCTCCAGAACCCAAGGTATGTATATTCACTATTTTCTCTTACCCAATTGCTAGTTTGTTGGCATGTATGTTTATATGTTCCTACCATGGAATGCTAGACAGATGCACCTCTCCAAAGGTATAGTTGTGTTTAAATTTCTGAATTTTTGTATTTATATAAATTTATAGCCCACCTTTCCTCCTGGAAGCTCATGGTGACATACATGGTTTTCCCACTCCACATTTAATCTAGATATTAGAGGATGACCACGCGCTACTTGAGTGCATCTTAGAGGCACGTTATTAAATTCATTGAGAGCAATTCCTACTAGCAAGGAACAATGTAAACGGTGGTAACCCTCCTCAGTTTGCAATATTGGGGTGGGAGCTGAGCAATGATTGGGGCAGATTTGGTGCAGTTAAGGTTTGAGGAAGGAGGTGTGCAATGCTCTGCGGTACAATTACTGTAGAATTGTTTTCTTTCATTATGATAAAGTGCTTACTGAGCCTTTTGGTAATGTGTCAACAGAGTATTAGCTGGCATGAGATGCCTTTCTGTATGTTGTTCTTTGGGAATTTTCAATATTCTCTATTTTTCTGTGAACAAGATGATGCCTCCCTGCCCCCCCCCCAAATTAGTCAAAAATTGGGGTTTGCCTTATACACAGATTTATATGGGAAGTCTTGAGTGAGCTGGCAGCTCCTGAGTCACAGAGTGCTGGCCTCAGAGCTGGCTGGAGAGGTGAGGCAGTGCCCAGGCAAGGAGGGAGCATGGCCACAGTGTGATGCGAAGTCAGGCGCAGGCTGGAGAAAAAGCTCAACATCTTTTTGGCCGATTTCCCACAAAACCTGAACAACTGTAAATACTGATTTCTTTATTTTGGGCTCCCAAAAGTAGGGGTTGTCTTATACATGGTGTTGTGTTATACACAGAAAAATACGGTACTTTCTCCTGTTTACTAGTTTTTTTGTAACCTTATTTTCAGGTGCTAGGAGAGATCTGTGAACAAGGCTATTCGGATGCTCTTAGATTTTTGAAAGAAAATGGTACGTCGCTGTGATTTCAAATATATAATATGGTGAACAGAATGTCAGTCACAATGTCGTGCCAGGTCTGCGCATTTTTGTATACGGACAAAAGAAGCTGACCATGGTTGCTCATATCTTTGTAACATCGAGTTCAGATTACACACTCTGTGTTGGACTGTTTTCGAACAACGTTCAGAAACTTCAGCTAGTTCAAAATACAGCTGCTAATATCAGCTGGAACCCGGCGTATATAGATTCTACATTGTAGATGTATAGGATCATCTTCACTGACTCCCAAACTGTTCCTGAACCCAGTTCAAACTGAATTTATTCTGCTACTTATTTATTAAATTTATATACTGCCTTTCATCCATAGAGCTCAGAGCGGGTCACAGCATAAATATTTTCTCCTAAGCAGTTGGAGACTTGGATATTGGAAGGATTCTGCCTTCCCATGTGATCCTACCTATGAACGTAGCTTATTATCTGTGTTCACATGCTGCAGAAAGTGTGGCCCAGGGAAAATTCAGCAATGACTACATAGCATCTGAGGCAGTACAATTGTGGCTTCAACTCTACTTGTATAAGGGAAGTTTGTGCCATGCAATGCGGACAGTGTTTTCTATCAGAAGTGGGTGATGCTAGACTTGCCAGAGTCTTATCATTCCATCTGCTTAGTATCATGTTTTCTCAATACATGATGCAGCTGCTGGTATCATGAGCCATTTTCCCCTCAAGGACTTGGAAGACTAAGGTGACTTTTGGTTTATATAACTGTGGCCATACACTTTGGGAAATGGGATAGATCTTCGTTAGAGAGTTGAGCTTGGATTTAAGTTTCTTAAGTTCATTTCAGTGGGTCTAAGTGTAACTTATTTGGCATGGCACAATGGCCTGGGCCTACTTAATTTCACAGAAATTACATTGACTTTTACAATTACAGGCAACCTTGTGGTTTGTTCTTGAGATCCAGTATTTTTTTCCTGAACACACATGGCTTAGACACTTAGACCAACTCTTACCGAAAAGATCTAGGAGCAGCTGTAGTTTTAAAGCCCAGTCAGCAACCTGGGGTCTACACTGGTAGAAATTATTGTCCTTTTGTAACACTCTTTTAAACCAGTCTTAGTAAAGAATGCCAGCATGGTAAAGTTTATGGCTTGGTTCAGTGTTAAAGCCACCCCATGGTATGTTTGGCCACACAGAACAGACTTCTGGCCCAGTGTGCCCTCCTTCGCTCATGTTCTAATTCATTCCATTCCAGATATGTGCAAACCATGGGTTGTCTCACAAATGGAATTGGAACCCAGTTGCAGTCTGTGGTTTGTGCCATAATTCGTCTGGTGTGGATGTTGAGTGAGGGAATCAGAATGTTTAAGGTGAAGACTGTTCATGATGGCCAAACTATAGTTTGGTTTTTAGATTTGAAACAGGCATTTGGGGTGGGGCACAAAGAATGCAGTTTTTCCTTTGAAAATGGGCTTTGCCTGGCCAATTTGGAGGTACAGAGGCAATGTGCTAATTCTCTGCTGTTTGTCAGGGGTAGGATTCCACTTTTAAGAGATTTCTAGGCTGACAATGCTCATTTCCATCAGTTTTTCTACTCTTGCGTTGCCCACTTCAGACAATATATGACCTTCTTTCTTCAAGATTTGAAAGTTTATACTAGAAGACTTTTCAGCCTAGGAGTAGTGCAGTCTTTATGCTCTCTTCCAACTCTGTTTTGCAATATGGTGCCGGTCATGATCTTGAATACAAAAACACCATCACATCAGAAGCTGTTTTTATTCTATCTTCCTCAGGTATACTGTATGATTCAGTTTTAGTTGACTTGGCCTTAACAAAGGAAAACCACCAGGAATGTGTTCAGACCCCAGATTATGCTGATAAAAAAACAGTTGCCGAAAACGAAGCAAAAAAAGAGATGCAAGATGAAGAAATGCTTATTGATCAGCTGCAATTAGCTGCCTGGCCATTGGATGGAACCATTTTTGAGAATCTACCTCCTAGACTCCGTAAAGGTAGAGATTTAAAGTAACCTCATTTTTATTGTAAAACTAAGTTTCATTAAATTACTCCAGTAATTAGTAATGATACTGTCAATGCAAACAACATTGGGTATAGTCCAGCCAGAATTCAGCACTTGTAAATCCAACGTGATTTCAGCGGGAGAACATTTAGCACATTCTTAAATTTCTCCCATTGAAATCCGTGGTACTTTAAAGTGTTTGACTTGGGCTGGATCATGACCAGTGCTTTTAACTGCATCTGTAGTGCCTTGTTTCTGTAACATAGTGAATTGTATTAACTCTGGCTAGTTATTATATACTATGACAAAAGTTTGTTTTTCAGTTTATTTTTGCTAATCATCTTTACATACTTTAATCTTATGCATAAAATAACTGAGAAACCTACTGTTGCTACTTATCAGCGGCATAGCGTGGGTTGCTGGTGCCCGGGGGGGGGGGGCAAGCCACTGATGCTGCCAGAACATCCCCCCCAACCAGAGCCAAGTGGGGCTGCGTTGCGCAACCTGCCCGCCCGCACAGGGGGAAGCCTGGCTGGCCAATGTGGCTCTTGGGCCAATCCTCTTGACACCTGCAGAGAAGAGGGCCAGGCCAGGCTGCGCTGGGGTTACCCTTGCCAGCCTCCCTCTGCCTGCACCTGCTCACCCTGGGCTGCTCTGCAGGAATCCCTACAGAAGCCGGCGTCTGCATGGGGGTACCTGGTTGCGCCCCTCAGAATTTTGCACCCAGGGCCTCGGCCCCCCAGTCCCCATGATACTTATAACTGGACAAATAATAAACATTCAGTACAGGAGTATCTGGAATACTGTGCAAATTGATTTAGTAAAACAGTTTAACTAAGAACTTGGGTATATATTTGTGCATCACAGAAGAGTCTTCTTTGGCCACCTTTGAATGAAAGTTATTAATGTTGGATACTAACTAAACCTTGGTGCAGATGTGGCTTTCTGGGTGCACATGGAGAAGGAGTGTACCTATCAGACAAACTCTAACACAGCAAGTGGGGTGAGGAGGAGAGGGAATAAGCCAGGTGGACTAATTCCTTTCTCTTCCTTGCTTGACACTTGTCCCTCACTCAGCTTCCTGTCTTCCATGTTCAGAAGAGTTGGAGTTTTATTCTAAGGCTGTAAGGAAAGAAAAACAAGTAAATTGCAAGGAGAATTATCCAGTGAATAAGCTGTTGAATAGAAATCTTGGTTGAGTTGTGCTATGAGTGAGCAAAAAATTAATGTTTTTTCAAAGCTTTTGAGGGCCAAAATGCATTGCTTTTTCTGAATTAAAATTGTGGAAAAATGTATTTTTATAATACAAAAAGGGTTTGAGTGTAAGAGAGTAAAAAATTCCTGTTCTTGGAGGATCCACCCCTGGCTTTTTTCATGAGTCTGTTCTGATTGAAAGGAAGGAAACTTAGAATAATGATTCACAGAACACAGTGAGCAGCCACTTCTGATTGTATATCGACTGCATGAGGAATGCTAGGATAATCAGATTGTACCTGAAGCAGACTTGGTGGAATTAGAAGCCGACTGAACATTACTGAAATTTATACCAGCCAGATGGTGATGAACTGGCCCGTATGTATATAGGAGAGTACTAGGTGCATTTAGTTGAGTTCTGTCATGAGAAAGCCTGTTGTGGGTTATCTAGCATGATTCCAGGCAATGCTTCATCACTCTTGCAGAATCTAGAAGCCATTATGTTCATGTTCAGTTGAGATTAATGACTGTATAAATGACAGCGTTGCAGGAGGCTTGTAAAGAGAAATGTGGACTCTATGCTCAGCTTTCTAAATTTCTACCAATGCGACTGATGTCCTATGTGATGCTGCCGTATACTCTGCCAGTTGAGTCAGCATATTTTGTGGCCTTAAGGTGAGTGTTAATCATGGAAGTCTGCCCTTGTTGTACTAGTGTTTTTATATAGCACATTTTCTAAGGGCTCACAAGCCTTACAATAATTCTTTTTTAAAAAAAAATCGTATGTATTCCAATTTTCTTATAAAAATTAAATCCTGCTAGACAGGAAAGTATTATCCCTGCATTGCACATGGGATGGAATGAATGAGTGGAATACTGCTGAGAGGTAACAATATATTTAGGTAACTTTTGTAGTCATGGCTAAAGTTTGATTGAACTGGAACTTCCAGGCTCACAGCTTAACCACTATATTATTCTTAAAACGATTAACTGAAAAATAGTAGATATATTTTCTTTTCCATGTGTGCTTTTTGGGTTCAGTTTCATAAACTTGGAGTGTGCATGAAGCGTACTTTTAAAACCCTATATTTATTTGGTGTGTATCTCCAGATTTAACTGAGAAACTGGCTGCGTAGGGAACTCTGTTCAAGGAGTTTGCAATGATAAAGGCCCTTTAAAACGTAGCAGTAATATTTCCAAACCTGCTGTAGAGAAAAAACTAAAAATTAAACACACATGCGCTGTGGTGTAAACCACTCAGCCTAGGGCTTGCCGATCGGAAAGTCGGTGGTTTGAAACCCCGCGACGGGGTGAGCTCCTGTTGTTCGGTCCCAGCTCCTGCCAACCTAGCACTTCGAAAGCACGTCAAAGTGCAAGTAGATAAATAGGTAAAGTGGCTTTAGTGCAAGTAGATAAATTGATAAAGTGGCTTTAGTCATGCTGGCCACATGACCCGGAAAAACTGTCTGCGGACAAACACAGTCTCCCTCGGCCTGTAAAGCGAGATGAGCACCACAACCCCAGAGTCATCTGTAACTGGACTTAACTGTCAGGCGTCCGTTATCTTTACCTTTTTATTGTGTTTAATTATAAACCACCCTGAGACCTGTGAGTATTGGGCAGTATATAAATTTAGTCAATAAAACAAGCAAGCCAGCAAGCCAAGTTTTAGGTGGGGCAGATTAACTGATGTCAATAAGAAGCATTAGTAGAATTGCTCTCCTGCCTCTCTGCCCAGAGTCCTTCACTCCCATATGGCATTTTCTCAAATCAGGGTTCTGCCTGAAACACTATTATTTATTCCTTACAGATTAGTAGACTGGTTTCCTGATATCCCTGATGATGTACGATGGATGCAAGGTCAGCTCTGTCAAGTTGTGGGCACAGTATACTCCAAAGCAAGAAAAAGATTACTGAGTATTCCCAGGTATATCTTATGCTGCTACATGCTTCATGCTGCACATTTGTTGGTCAGGTGCAGACATAATATTTCAAATTGCTTAATCATTGTGAGTGTGCTATGGATCTATCCACTCCCTCTCAATCATTCCATGAACACCCATTCCTTCTCTTTTTGTTGGTAGCCATGGTTTAGTGTTATGTTTGCAATGAAATTAACACTGACTGTGGTTTAAAGTAGATGTGACATTAAATGTAAGCAATTCACATGCTATTGACTTTTTAAAAATCTTTTATATGGCACAATTAATCCATTTTATTCTGATTAACAGCTCTAGTATTAGTTTTTGTAAGCTGTACTTGCCCCTTGTTCTTGTGATTCACTTCTTCTTTTAAACAAACTTCTCTCCCTCTGCATCTCTTACTTTTTAATGTTTTAATTTACTTGCCTCCTTCTCACAACTTTAGCTCTGTCTCACTACATTAGAGTATCAGTGCTCTGCTCATCTGTCTGCACTAAAAAGCTGCTCATCTGTCTGCACTAAAAAGCTGTAGGAAATGATGCAGAGCAAAAGGCAAGCAGTCATGCAAGTTTCACTACCTTTTTTAAAAAATGGGGCTACTTTTTGTATAAGAAATGTGTAGTATTTGAGGCATACCCAAGAATATTAATTGATTTGTGCATGCAAGCACTGTGAAATACAGGATTGCACACTCTTGGAATGTTACAATTACTGGTGTCTTTTCAAAACCCTCTTTCTACCCCTGTTCTCAGCCATGGCTGGAGTATGTGTTAAGATGCCACCCACTCCCCATTTTATCCATTAGCAAAAACTTGGAATAGGTTTAGACATTTTTGCTAAGGAAATGGTAATTTGAATAAAATCACCAAACCAGGAATGACCACAGGAAAGAATTGTTTGGCTGCTTCCTCTCCCCATCCCTACCTCTCTCCTTTGCTAGCATAAAATGAAGAGTAGCAAAGAGTCGTGAATTACATAGAAAACTATTAAAGCTAATAAATAGAAACTTAAATAGCATGAATGAAATTCTAGTTAAATCAGAGTTGTTTAATTAATTGACACAGGGTAATCCTATACAGTGGTACCTTGGTTCTCAAATTTAATCCGTTCTGGAAGTCTGTTCCAAAACCAAAGTGTTCCAAAACCAAGGCACGCTTTCCCATAAAAAGTAATGTAAAATGGATTAATCCATTCCAGACTTTTAAAAACAACCTCTAAAACAGCAATTTAACATGAATTTTACTATTTAATGAGACCATTGATCCATAAAGTGAAAGCAGTAATCAGTGTACCGTACTATAAAATAAATAAGACAGTATTGTAGATGATAAAAATAAAAATTATTATTTTTTCTTAACTACACTGATGATAGTCATTGTTTGCATGGGGGGGCTTTTATCCATTTCCGTAGTCACACAGTCAATCAATCAGTAGCTGAACTGGGTTCCACGCAGTCACAAAAATAGATTAACCGAAAAAGCCTCAAAAACGCAAAATAAATAACAAAAACAAAAGTGCCAAACTTAATCCGTTCCAGAAGTCTGTTTCATTTCCAAAATGTTCAGAAACCAAGTCGCAGCTTCTGGTTGGTGCAGGCGCCCCAGAAACAATAGCTGACAACTTCATTGGATGTTCGGCTTCCAAAAAACGTTCGAAAACCGGAGCACTTGCGGGTTTTCGGTGTTTGGGAACCAAGGCGTTTGAGAATCAAGGTACCACTGTATAAATATGTTTTCAGTGAATATTTGTGTTTTTTTTTTAAACCTATTCAGTCATTTATAGCTGATTGGATGAGGATGGGGAGCATATTCCATCTTTATATATGATAAAAATCAAAAGTTGCTGAAGAGTCACTGAGATTTATTCTTCTTTTTTACAGCAAGGAAAACAGTGCACTGATTAGAAAGTGTCAGAGTGCCCCGCTGAACACGAGTCTTCACTCTTCTTACTGCCCTCCTAAAATGCCTCATTCTTCCACACACCTCGAAGAGTGGCTTTTGGATCTTCCATACTGTGAGGACTTGGTTAAGAAAGAAGCTGCAGTGGGTGTAAATGAAAGCTTGGACTCCATGCCTCCCTTTTTTATGAGCTGCGAAGAATCGGGAGTGGAAGTAGATTTTGACTCCTCCTCCGAAAAGAGTTTCCAGACTGCCTGTGAGGACTAGCTTAAGAACTGTGGCATAGACAAAGAAATCTCAGTCTTGGAGGCATCAGTTTATCTAGCAGATTGCCAAACAGTCTTTTGGAAGACTGGCTTACACTAGATGACAAAATGCCTTCGAGGAATCTTTTGTGGAAAGAGAAATGTGCTGTTCTGGTCCGGCTTCCTGATAATGACTAAAGGATTAAGAAGACCCTAGTGCAATAGAACATGGTTTACCCAAACAAGATTTTCGGCAGGAAAAAAGTGATTCAAGTCTTCTGATTTCTATTGGGACAAAGGATTTTTAGCAAAACCACTTCGTTTTAAAGTATTTAACTTTTATAATAGTCTTTTTCTTGTTTGTCTTCATATGTGGCGTTAGCACTTGAGCAAAATCAAACTGTGTGTATTCAGATGACTATGGCATAGAGGAATTTTTTGGAAGGCCTCTGAAGTTTTACTTGCCTTATGCATGACACTTGTTGGAATTGTTAACATCAGTTACACTCCTTATCGTAAGGCTTCGTTGTTTTTCAGAAAGATAGTATTTAGGAGGCATTGTGTGTGGAGGAGAAGCCACAGGTGTAGTTCAGAATTTAGTGCAATGCACATGTGCCACTCCACACCAGAGAATCCTTATGGGCTGAATTCAATCCCAATAAACAATACTTTAACAATGTTTTACAGAAGGTATCTAATTGTAGACCATTTTCTCTTAGAGAAGGCAGTATTGTGTGGATCAATGGAAGTATCAGCTGCAGATGCCATCGAGACATGGGTTGAATGATTTACCTATGCAAATAGCCGAGAAGTTACAGTGTGATTTGTAATTAATGGAGCTTAAAAGCTTCTTATTATTTCTTGTAATCAAGCAGCACTGGAAGCTTTTGAAAACAGATTAAAATCTGAAAAATGAACTGTATATGGCTTCCCTGAATTAATCACAGAAAACATTCTGTTCTCCGTTGCACTAAATTCAAACCATTTTAGCCCAGTCTTTACTAACAAAAAATGTGCCAATATGTTTTTTCAGTTTTATTATAGGTTAGGTCTTAAGTTGCCTAACACGTGAGAGCTGACAGTAGTGCTGAATCATGAATAAGCTACTTTTCAAATTGTTTTAATTTTAGAAGTACATGTGTTAAGATAAATAGCCTCTCTGAAATCTGGATACCATATTTGATAGTGATGCTTTGAGTATTCCTTGCCCACCATTATTCATCACTTTAAAGTGACAAGGATACTTATTTATGGCACAGGATTTACATTTCATTCTCCAAAATGGTAAATGATGAAGAAATGCTGGTCCCATAGGCTGTTGATCACCCTCCCCTGGCATGGCACTTGGAGGACTGGTCTGCACTGATGCTGTCTTAGCATAATGGTCTAAGAGTCAGTCAAATCGATTTTGGCTTGGGAGTCTGTGTTAGTAATGAGGTGGCTTATATTTTGACAAAAATCAAAGCCTTCATAAGAATGGGAAGTCTTGTGTGTATTTATTTTAAGTACTGACTATGGGCAAGTTTAATTTTGACCAAGCGTTTAGCAGTCTTTCAGCTATGACTTTATACAGTGAAAACTGAAGGAAGTGCTGTTTTTAGAAAAACAACAACGAAGCTACGTTTTAAAGTTTTAACATTGCAAAAACTTTCTTATTTATATCCTTGCTGGTGCTATTTCATTCAAGATATAGACATAAATGAGTTATTTTGTGTGATCACTGATTGTATGCTTTATCTTGATTGCATTTCCAAAATGGGCCAGAATATTGTTCCAATCACTACTGTTTATATAAAGCAGCAAAATAAAGAGACAAAAATGTTTTTGATGTCTGCTGTTTATAATAGCAAACTGAATTTAAGATAATTGTGGTTGGAAGGAGGGAGCTCAAGGAATATATTGTATTGTAAAAGCAGCGGCTTCCAATTTTTTTTTTTTGGCCAGTGCCCTCTTGGTTCCATAAACTCACCCATGGTGCCGCTTACCTTACGCTATAAAAAGCATTATTCAGAACAGTGATAAATTCAAAACAGTAACAGTTAATTGTACATTTATTCAAAATCCAATTATCACTATTTAGTTTAACTAATTCAACAAAATTATTGAACCTGATCCAATGATACCAACTTTTCAAAGGCTATTAGTTATTTACATCACCAGAATCCCTCCTGCTGCCCCCCCCACATAACCCCCCCCCCGCCGCCCACTTTGGGAACCACTGCTTTAAAGTTTTAAAGTCTTTTAACGAGGTTGTATATTTAAGCTATGGAATTACAAAAATTGAAGCCTGTATTTCTGCTTGTACCATTGTACTGAAGAGCCATTGAAGCCTCTATGAGGCTTCAGAAAATATTTAAAGATTGGTCCCTGCTGTCGCTGGCAAGACATCCTTCTCCCGCTCCGTTCACTGAAATTCATAATCTTAAATGAATCTTAAATGAATAATCTTAAATGATTTCTACCTCCTGTTCTTATAAATTATATATTTTGAAAATGAATAGAAAGCTTAAAATTCAATATTCCAAGGTTTGTATTTCTTCTATGGAGTGGCAATATTTTTGAGATTTATATTCTGCCACATTATTCCACAAGACAAGGACATCTTTTACATGGGAAGTATCTCTTGTAGCCTTTGTGCTCCATCTGCGGTGGTTGGAAAAGAATGTGTCTGGCAGGGATAAAGATAACAGGTGGAGATGTTGGGTACAAAGTATGTATGTACACACCTTAAGGGATTACAGCTGTACTGCAACAGCTATCTCAAGCAGAGCCCTTGGGTCCAGAGTTCTTTTTCTCAACTTATCTAAAAGCGAAATGTTTTTATAGTTACAATGTAAATTCAGTGAGGCTATGGAAAATGTCGTTTGGTTTTCAAAAAAGTTTTTTCAGTCTGTTTGGCTGGCAACATTAAACTACAATACTTGCTACTTATGTTATATTCTTTTCAATATGAAGAACAATTGATAATAATACAGTACAGTACTAGTATTTGTTGATCACTTGGTAATGAAAGAGAAATGTCCCAAAGCAACTTAAAATAAAATACAAACAAAATCAATCAAAAGTCAAATTAAGAATGATGTACAATACACAACATCTAAAATAATAATTCAATATCATAAGACAACCTCCTATCCTCCAAAAAGACGAACACAGCAGTAGAGGCTAGCGCAATCACCAAAGGCCTAGGTAAACAAAAAGGCCTTGCGGGTAGAAACTTAGAATTATAGCACCAGGCATGTTTCATTGGGACATATATTCAGCTGCACAGAGTCACTCCTGAAAAAACCTGTTCTCATCTATTTCTTCTGCATTTTTCTCGGATGAGGCACATAGAGAAGCAATTCTGATTAATATTGCTGGACCGGTTTGTTTTAGCAGAGGCTTGGGATTCCTGAACTACGTGAGGTTTTGTAAGTCAAAACCACCCTTTTAAATTGAGCCTAGAAACTAACTGGTAGCCAGTGCAAGCAGGCCAGAATCAGTGTAATAAGCTCAGATCTTCTGGTCTCTGTAATCAAACTGCTGATTTCTACACTAGGTGTAGTTTCCAAACAGTCTTCAAAGGAAGGCCCCATGTATAACATTGTGGTAATCTAATCTACAAACGATAAGAATATAGGCCACTAAATCTAGATTATACCTGTGCAAATACGGTCAAAGCTAGGCCACAAACACAAGCCGGCAGAAGGTTTCCGTGGAACCATGTACACTTATGCTTCTAGCAACAGCAGTGGATCCAGGAATTAAAGAATGGCATGGTTGGGAGGGCTCCCAGTGGTCATCTAGTCCACCCCCCCACGATGCAGGAATCTCAACCAGCTCGTACAGGACAAATGGCCATCCAACCTCTGCTTAAAAACCTCTACAGATGTCTCTATCTCCATGCTATATACCTGCTCCTTTAGTGGTAGTGTGATCCCTTCCGGAACAGGTTGGACATCCATGCAGTCTAGGAAATTGCCCCAAAACTGCCTCAGTCAGTCTTTCCCGGATGGAGCTTCAGTTTATTGCTTCTCATCCACTCTTCTACCAAGGCGAGGCACTGATCCAGTACATCCCCTGCCAGACTTACAGATGTCAAGGAGGTAGAGAGCATCAACATACTGATGAGAGCACATGCCAAACCTCCAGTGACCCGACGTGTCCGTCTCTCCACCATCTTTCTTTCCCTCTTCCCTCCTGTATTTATTTAGGGAGTAAACCTGTGGGCAGGATTTTGCTTTTTCTTCTACAAGTATATTCTGAATAGAGCCAGCTTTTCATGCACTTATGAAATGCTATTCAGCTTGATTTGCTTTTGTTTTGAAAATTTAGTGTTTGGATTCTAAATACAGTGGTACCTCAGGTTAAGTACTTAATTCGTTCCGAAGGTCCGTACTTAACGTGAAACTGTTCTTAATCTGAAGCACCATTTTAGCTAATGGGACCTCCCACTGCTGCCGTGCCGCCGGAGCACGATTTCTGTTCTGATCCTGAAGCAAAGTTCTTAACCTGAAGCACTATTTCTGGGTTAGCAGAGTCTGTAACCTGAAGCGTATGTAACCTGAAGCATATGTAACCTGAGGTACCACTGTACTGCCCACCCCCAACTGCATGCATGGCCGGCTGCTATACATGTTGATGTGGAAATAAATCCCCATGAGTTGCATGCACTTAATCATTCATACATTTTATTTAGTAGAGAACAAATGAGGTGTTTTATAACATGGAGATAAGTTGCCTTTAAAAACTATTAATGTTTTTACATATTAAGGTATGGGCTCATACCTGTCTTACATAGGTGAACAGGAACCTATGAGGAGACTCTCAGATGAAGGATATAATGCACCCAAACTTAGAAAGCACATGCTTAAATTGAACCAAACTTTGGCCAAATAGAATCTAAAAGAGTGGCCTAAAATGTGTGCATTTTCAAGCTACACATTTTCAAATGTGTGTATTTTTGCTTTGGGCAAGATAAAGTGACGTAACACATTTAATAAATAAAAGTAACAACAACAATGTACCAGTAGGTGGGACTGAAGAAAATCTTGGCTCTACACCAGGAGTCTGGAGTGTTTAGAGTCTGCTACAAAACTACTATTCCCACAATGCTTTGCCTGAAAGTTTTGGGTGGGGCAGTGAGTCATCTCAGTGGCTGGTATCTGACTACAGCATGGGTGTAAGTTTGGGAGCCTTTTGCCTTCTCCCAAGGAGGATAGGAAATGTTGGGGTACACTATCACAGTCCTTCACATAACAACTGACGTGACTGACAGCGCCTTCTCGGTGGCTGCGCCAAGACTTTGGAACTTTGTTGGCAGTCGCCCGGAGACAATTTATTCCAACAGGCTGTTTGTGAACTGACTACTTTTAATTAAAGGTCTGATGCTGTGCTGTTTTTAATTGTAATTATCTGCATGTTTTCATTGGATTACAAAATAAAATGTTTTAATTCTATTCATGTTCCATTGCTTTTTTAAAACGATTGTCCCATCTTTCAACTGTTATTATTTCACCTGCAAGCTGCCTTGACTCCATATCAGGGAAAACAGCGGCATATGTATGTATGAATGAATGAATAAATAAATAAATAAATAAGGAATTTCTGCTTGTAAGTTCCAATTGCAAAGTCCAGCATACAATTCTCTTGCCATGGAGGTGCCAGGGGATGGAGTGACCGATGGATAAACGTTAATAGCAACTTTATCAGAGAAACATGGAGCTTCCTGGTACTTTTAGAACCCCAATTTCATTTTTGCCTTCGGTAGAAGTGAAATCTGTCTGTGGAAGGTAGAAACACAGTGTTTTTAGTTTAGGCAGCAGAAATAAGATAGAGGCACATTTAAAAAGTGCTTGCTCTTTCTAATTTTGTGTTTTGGGCTTCCTTTTTTATTTCAAGCAGTAAGGATGCAACGGAGAATTGCAACAAGCAATGCAGAGGAAGGTGGCGAGTAAGCCAGATCTTTTCTTCTACTCCTGTGGCAACAGAGTCACAACATATGCAGGAAGGATTGGGACTCTGAACCATAGGGCGTGTGCAGAGGGTGCAATTCTCACGGCAGGAGGTGCAATCCCTACCATCGCAGGCAGCACCAGAAGACAGATCGACACGTGTTTTTGAATCGTGCTGTTGGATGCGAAACGCGAGCAATGGATTGGGACCGCAAAGTGAAATTTTAAGTAGATTGGCCTTTGCCTGCTGCAAACCTGCTGCGGCATGTCTGTCTTTTGCGCTGAGGGTTTGGGGCTTGGGATCCAAAAGACTCTCAGCCCATAGCTGTCAACTTTCCCCTTTTTAAAAAAAGGGAAATTCCCTTATTCCGAATAGGATTCCTTGCAAGAAAAGGGAAAAGTTGACAGCTATGTCTCAGCCACTCACCGCTAACCTGCAAGATGGCTCTGTGGTCTCATGGGGCACGACGTTCACAATCCTGTAAAGGCATTTAGCGTGGCAATTATAAAAACGCTATTTTAAAAACCTCTCTTTTTAAATTGGAGCAGGCGCGCAGCCGCTTCTTCCGGCGACGCCAATCCGCCCAATTTCCACGGTCAGCTCCCGCTGCCTACCTAACCTGGGGGGGGGGCGCAGACGTAGGGTTCAGACGTGAACCCGAGTGCCCGAGAGATGGGGGCAGCGGAGGCGAAGCGCACATCGGCTCCCCGCGCATCTGCAGAAGCGAAGCAGGGTCCGCTTGGGTCCCATATCTTTTTTTTTTTTAAATGATATTTATTAAAATTTCAAAAGAAAAAGATCACATTAATAAGAAAATTAACAATAAAAAGGAAAAATACAAAATACAAAGTACAAAAAAGAAAAAAACAGTTAAAAACACTTCCATCTTTTCATCACTTCTTTTACATTTACTTGTTTCCCGGACCTCCTCATACCTCCCTCTTTTGTATTCCAATTCAATTTGTTAGTCCAGCGATTCCTTTCCCTCCTTTTCAATCCTGATCTTTAATCTTGATATATTATAACATTAAATTTTTACCTATTAAAAACCAATTTTTCCATATTCTTTTATACCATTACCGCTAGAAACCGCTTAACTTCAATCCATCATCATTCTAACATTCATTAATTTTACAATATTTCTGTAAGTAGTCTTTAAATTTCTTCCAATCTTCTTCCACCGACTCTTCTCCCTGGTCTCGGATTCTGCCAGTCATTTCCGCCAATTCCATATAGTCCATCACCTTCATCTGCCATTCTTCCAGAGTGGGTTAATCTTGTGTCTTCCAATGCTTTGCAATAAGTATTCTTGCTGCTGTTGTTGCATACATAAAGAAAGTTCTATCCTTCTTTAACACTGATTGGTCGACTATGCCCAGGAGGAAGGCCTCTGGTTTCTTCAAGAAGGTATATTTAAATACCTTTTTTAATTCATTATAAATCATCTCCCAGAAAACCTTAATCCTTGGGCACGTCCACCAAAGGTGAAAGAATGTACCTTCAGTTTCTTTACATTTCCAACATTTGTTATCGGGCAAGTGATAAATTTTTACAAGCTTGACTGGGGTTATGTACCACCTGTAAATCATTTTCATAATATTCTCTCTTAGGGCATTACATGCCGTAAACTTCATACCTGTGGTCCACAACTGTTCCCAGTCAGCAAACATAATGTTATGTCCAACATCTTGTGCTCGGGTCCCGTATCTGACGCGTGTTGGGATTCCTGCATGGCAGCGGGGTTGGTCTAGATGACCCTCGGGGGTCCCTGCCCACTCTTACAGCTCCTAGGCGCCTAGGATTCTGCATGGGGATCCGTTGCCCCGCTGCGGACCCTGCTGCCTCCTCTTGCCCCAGCTAGTGCCCTCATATATCCCGGAAGCTGGCGGCTATTCATGTCTCTTCACTCCCCGCGTTTCTTTTATCTACGGTCTCGGCGCCCTTCCTTTCCGCGCGCTCCTCCTCCAGTCCCCGCCCCCTTCCGCCCCGGCCTGGCCAATCAGACTCGTTCCGCCGCCGACGCGCTTTCCTGTCATGGCCGCCGCCCTGCGCTGCAGCTTCTCCTCCTGAGGGACCGTCGCGGCGCTTCTCCCCCCGCCCGCCGCTCCCTCGCCGGCTCTCCCGCTCGCTCTGCCGCTCGGCGTCGCTGAGAGGCGGCCATGGGCACCGTCCACGCGCGGGTAAGGAGCGCCCGGCCCCGCGGGCTTGGCGGGCGAGGGCGGCGACCTTGGGCCGAGGAGGAGGGATCGGGGCCGCCAAGGTAGCGGAGACACCCGCCGACCCGCGCGCCCTCACGTGCACGCGCGCACTGGGGCCGCGCCCCTCCGCTGAAACAACGCCCGGCCACCCTGGACAGCGTTCCTCTGAGCATGTGAAGAATTCCTCCTCCTAGGATTATTGTCATTGGGTTTTTTACGGCCGCCACCTGAAAAGGATATTGTCTCTTTTGAGCATGTGCAGAATCCCCACCCCCTTTTTTAGGGCTCTCCTTAAAAACAATACTGAACATTCCGAGCAGCGTTTTTCTGAGCATGTGCAGAGTGTGACCTTGAGAATGTGCAAAGGCGCCCGTGAAGGGGATGCGCGCCTGCCTGCTTGCATGAAGGCTGCTTTAGGTGCGCTGTGGAATCCGGTGCCTCCACTCCAGGCTTCCTTCCTTCCTTGGGTAGTAGTGGACTTTGCACATGCTCTGGTGCCTCAAGCCTTTGGAACAAGGAAGGAGGAGGGAGCGGAGGGGTTTCGGCCAGCTAACCTGGACTGGCTTGCATGGAGCCTGGGAGGCTCCTGCTTCCCCTAAGGAGCCTTATAATTCTCCAAAGTGGTGCTGCCTGTGATGGCGTCTCGGGTGGGACTGCAGTGCTTTCCTTGGCAGCACAGTATTTACACACCTGTTGTGAATGTAAAGTCTTCATGACACACCCACATGCATCACACTGACTTGGAGGTGGCACCTACACTTAAACATCAGGAAGATGTTTCTCACAGCAAGAGCTATTCCAACTCCCTCAGAAGGCAGTGATCTTGCTTTTTTGGGGGCTTTTTAAAGCAAAGGTTGGACGACCCATCTGTCAGGGATGCTGTAGTTTTGATTCCTGCATTGCACAGGGTTGGATTAGAGGACCCTCGGGGTCCCTTCCAACTCTACAATTCTATGATTTCTAGTACCTGTGAGAATCCTACAGTAGCATAAGTATACAAATTAAGCAGAAAGTGAAATGCAAAAATGTAGACAGAGCAATAACAAAATAGCTACAACTGAACAGTATTTTATGCATAGAAACATGCAAAAAAAACAAAACCCCATTACAAAATGAAACCATTCTGATCTTAAACTACCCCTCTTTTTAGTCATCCTGGCCAATGTTGTTGCCAACTTTTCAACTATATTCCAAACATTTTTATATCAATTTTTATATTATTTTATATCAATATTGTTTCATAGTGTCTTCAAAGTCCTTCAAAAAATTGGCAATCCCATCCCTGCATATTAGAGAATCAAAATGATACATAAACCCAAATGACAATGTGTATTTAATTTACTCCCCCACCACACATTGGATTACAAAATCTGAAGCTTCTCTGTTGCAGCATTAATAGTGTACCTTTATTCCAAAGCAGCTGTCTGAAAAGAATAGAGGTGGGTGAAGTTTTACAGGGCTATTCAAAGTATACATTTAAAGCTCACATTCAAAAGTACCTTAAGTATAGGGTGACAGTTTCCAGTGGTCTTATATTGAAATGAATTTAGGATTTTGGAAATTAAAGTTTTATGCAGCTTGTGTCAACTAGTCAAAGACGGACAACACAGCCAGCACCATAGATGTTTATAATGGAATGAGAGCCACACCCCAAACATAAATGACCAATGCAGGTTACGTCTAAAAATATATACCTGCTTAAAATCTTAGTGAACGATCTTTCTTTATTAAATAACCCTTCTGAGTTCTGTGAGATGCACTTATACTGACCAAGTGCATTGTAAAATAAAAAGGCAAACTGAAAAATGTAATACTGTGTAAGGCAATTAGAATCATAGCAATGTAAAGTTGGAAGATACCCCAAGGGTTATCTAGGAATATGCAGGAATATACAGCTGGCCTGGATGGACTCGAACCCACAACCTTAGCATTATCAGCACTACATTCTCTCCAACTGAGCTGACTGACAGGCTTATCTTACATTATGAGTGATATCCACTATTGAAACAACTGGATTTAAATAACGTAAGCCTGCCACTTTCAGTGAGTCTACTCTGTTTATGACTTAATTGGATACCATTCCTTTACCACTCTTGCATAATGAAACTGCATGGGGAGACACATATATAGATTCTGGGAACACAGCTGTACAAGACTGCATCCTTTTATGGTAAGGTGGATGGAATGGTAAGAATCACTATAAATACTTGAGGACTTGAAAAACTAAATCCAGTTTAACTCAATTTTATCCTGCTCAGAGTTTGGAGCCTCTTCCAATGAGTGGACCTGATTTTGGTGCTATAGGGGAAGAAGCTGAACTGGTTGAAGTTGAGCCAGAAACCAAACAGGAAATACTGGAAAATAAAGATGTGAGTATTGGGATACCCCATTGTCTTTCTGTTTAACAGTGCACAGTCATTGTAACACAGTCATAATTTTAGTAGGAGCAGAATTCTTACCATTTAGCAATGAATAATTCTCTTCAGGTATTAGTAAACAATTGTGTAAAGAAAATTCTTGGAGAATAGGTGATGTACCTGCAAACTAGAGATGGGCAAATGTCCCCATCTTATTCTGCTCTGGTCAGACCTCACCTGGAGTACTGTGTCCAGTTCTGGGCACCACAGTTCAAGAAGGACACTGACAAACTGGAACGTGTCCAGAGGAGGGCAACCAAAATGGTCAAAGGCCTGGAAACGATGCCTTATGAGGAACGGCTAAGGGAGCTGGGCATGTTTAGCCTGGAGAAGAGGAGGTTAAGGGGTGATATGATAGCCATGTTCAAATATATCAAAGGATGTCACATAGAGGAGGGAGAAAGGTTGTTTTCTGCTGCTCCAGAGAAGCGGACACGGAGCAATGGATCCAAACTACAAGAAAGAAGATTCCACCTAAACATTAGGAAGAACTTCCTGACAGTAAGAGCTGTTTGACAGTGGAATTTGCTGCCAAGGAGTGTGGTGGAGTCTCCTTCTTTGGAGGTCTTTAAGCAGAGGCTTGACAACCATATGTCAGGAGTGCTCTGATGGTGTTTCCTGCTTGGCAGGGGGTTGGACTCGATGGCCCTTGTGGTCTCTTCCAACTCTATGATTCTATGAAAAGGGGAAAAAAAGAAGACCCTGATAACTACCGAATGGTAGGTTTGACATCAATACCAGGAAAGGTCCTAGAACAAAAAATTCAAGAATTGGTTTGTAAGCACTTAGAAAATGATGCTGTGGTTACTAAGACTCAGTATGGGTTTCTCAAAAATAAGTCATTCCAGACAAATCTCATTTCTTTTTTTGATGGAGTTATAAGCCTGGTGAATAAGGGGAATGCTGTGGACATAGTGTATCTTGATTTCAGTAGGGCTTTTGACAAAGTCCCCTATGATATTCTTGGGAGGAAGCTGGTAAAATGTGGGCTTCATCCACAAAATAATGTAAAAACCTGTTTAATAATGATGCTGTTTTTGGCACTTAAAATTCTTGACTTTGATTCATGATGAGACAATGTTCTGTGCTGTCTTGGAATTGTAATTCAATAATTCATTGGTTATGGCACCATTATGTTTTAGTTGAGCAGAAATTCTAGTTGTCCTTGGAATGTTTCCAGGGTTAACATTTTGATGAGAACCATCTTAATCTTTAGGTTGTGGTTCAACATGTGCACTTTGATGGACTTGGAAGGACTAAAGATGACATTATCATGTATGAAATTGGCGACGTATTCAAGGCTAAAGACCTCATTGATGTAAGTAGTGAAACCCTGAAACTCTCAAAAGCTTGAAAATACTGTGAAGTCTAAAAATGTCAGGATCCTTGTTTAATATTACTATTATGTTATTGTTTAGGTCAGGCATAGGCAAACTTGGCCCTCCAGATGTTTTGGGACTACAACTCCTACGATCCCTAGCTAACAGGACCAGTGGTCAAGGATGATGGGAATTGTAGACCCAAAACATCTGGAGGGCTGAGTTTGCCTATGCCTGGTTTAAGTCACTTAGCACAGGGCATCTCTTGTCAATTTACAATCTAGGTTAAGAAAAAGGTTAAAAATGACATTCAAAATATAACAACACCTCAGTACACAAAACACCAAGACTAGACAGAAAAGCTTAGCAGCAGCTGACATAAGGCCTTGACGCAGCAGGTTTATAGGCTATACAAACTGACGTGCCAAAACAATATTGCAAAACATGCTTTAACAGAAGCATAGGTATTCTTTATAAGCAGATATTCCAGTGTATAAATATGGTGCTAAACTGCAGTCTTGCTCTTGCAGACGTAAGCCTCATGAATTCCTGTTATTACTTTTTGAGTTTAGTTATTTATACATGTTGGGGTTGGATGCTAAACTGATGTATGTGAGGTCCACTCTGTGTCTTGGAATTCCCGTTTGTGTAATGAAAATGTAGAGCAGCATGTGAGATAATGAATGTATGCATTTGGCAAATAACTGTTGAACATTTAGTCATTAAGGTGCAAAGCTAAACCTTAAATATTTTGAAGGTTATGAGGAAGTCCCATGAAGCTCGTGAAAAGCTCCTCCGTCTAGGAATTTTTAGACAGGTGGATGTTCTAATTGATACGTGTCAAGGTAATTATCAATGTGTGTGATTTGTTTTTCCTTGAGTTTTAATATAGCTTTATAGTAGTTTAATATGTGTAATATTTAAATACTTTGAAGGAGGTTAAAATAAGTAACTCTTGCAGGAGAACCATTGAAATAAATGGGAGTTAAGTTACCTAAATCCGTTGATTCCGGTAGGTCTACTCTGAGTATAACTAAAATTGGCTATCCCTCCTTTGATAGGACAGACTATTTTATACATCAATAGTTCTAGTGTAGCATAAATGAATGGAATGCTTAGTTTCAATATATAGATATCAGGCAGCAAAGTATCCATCAGGGTGACAGGCTGTATTTGTTTTCATTGAGTTCTATAACTGTTTGTGTAGTGCTGGCCTTGGCACTTAGCTTGCCCCCAATTAAAACATGGTGCTGGTTTGCTGCCATCTAGACCAGCCTTCCCCAGATTGGTGCCCTCCAGAGGGTTTGGACTGCAACTTCCATCAGCACCAGCTACTATGGCACATAATCAGGAATAATGGGAGTTGTAGTCCAAAACCTTCACAGGATAAATGGATAGTGAAGGTTGATACAGACTTTCCCTTATTAATCAGCTGAAATTGTGAGGGTAGAAGACCCAGTACTAGAAAGAAGTACCAGGACTGGATTGGGATAGCTTGACCACAGTTGTCCATGCATTGGTAACCTCACAGTTGGAGTACTCCAGTGCACTCTGTGTGGAGCTCCCCTTGGGGTTGGTCTGGAGGCTGCTGCTGGTGGAGAACGTGGCGGCTAGGTGCGTTTGTGGGCAGACGACTGCCAGCATAGAACACCCTGCTTGTAGGATTTGCACTAGCTGCCAAGTCTGCTGCCAGGCTGAGGTCAAGGTTTTGATACTAACATGTAAGGCCCTATACAGCAGTATCAGGTTTTGTGGGAGGCTGCCTTATCCCTACATACTTGGCAGGGCCTTGTGGTCTGTGGGGAAACTTCTCCTGCAAGTTCCAAGATCTTAGAAGCCTTATCCGCAGTAACTTGGAGCAGGGATTTTAATGTAGCTGTCCCTGTTCTATGGAATAGCATTCCTGTTCAGATATGACAGGCACCACTATTTGTACATTATGAAAACAATCAAAGATTCCGCCCCCCTCACAGCTTTCCCAGCTGGATGAATGGGTCCTTGCCATGAGTGTCTGTTCTGTATTGCTTTAGTTTTGTTTTAAATGTATCAGCTAGTTATTGTTTTTTTAAACTTTTGCTGCTGTTTTTTATTATTATACATCACCTTGGGATGATTGTGTAGAGAGTGATTAATAAATTAATTATGATAATAAAAATAAAGGAAATGTTATAAGAGGCTAGAGGGAAGTATGGTAAGGCACACAGATCTCTGCTCCTGTCCTGATCTGTGAGGTTTGTGCTTAAATCTTCAACTCCACTGTTAAGTGTTCATAGTTTGAACCAAACAGTGTTTAGTATTATAGAAAGTCAAATGCATGGGATGAATCTATTTGGGGTACAGTATTAGCTTCTGTGAAGGCATTTTTCTGAGTGTATTAAACTGTGAGAACTTAATTTAGGTATTACATATGTTATTTAAAGTATTTTAAGAAGCTATTTAAGAAACACTGTATTTTAATAATTAGAAATGTCAAACTGGATTTTAAAAATTGTTTTCTTTACTAATATGTCTGTCTGTGTATTTAGGAGATGATGCCCTTCCAAATGGTTTAGATGTAACATTTGAAGTAACAGAACTGAGAAGATTAACTGGAAGTTATAATACTATGGTTGGCAATAATGAAGGGAGCATGGTATGACCTGCTTAACAACCTCCTGCAATCTAAGTTGTGGCGATATGATATATGCTAGTTTATCATAAGTGATTTAAATTAATTTTGGTAAAACAGATTTCCTTCTCCAATCATAAATACATTTATTTGGAATGAGAGTTCCATTAAAATAAATGAGATGTGTATGTGTTTATTTTTTTCTGTTTATTCTACAGTTGTCCTAGAAATCTCTGATCTCTTGACTGCTTTTATTGTGTAGAAATATGCTGAGACTGTAAATAATTGCAATATTTTATTCCAAGCTGAAAACACAATTTTTTCAATTGAGTGCTTATTATTATATAATGTCATCTTGTTATGAGATTCAATGAAGGGAGGTTTCAGTTGAAATCAGAAGCTTGTAGTCAGGAAATTTACATGTTTTCAAAAACTGATGCTTCTATAAATTTAGAACATGATTGACAGCTCTGTGTGAAAATTACAAAAAATGCTTTAGGGTTCCAATTTGAGAAACTTGCAATGATTTATGTGTTTTTTCATCTTTCATACATTTGACAGCAATATGAGCACTGGTACTTTACCTATGGTGTATAATATATTTATCTGGGTTTTTTTATGGAGAAGCTTGAGATAATGATAAAAGGGATATTTTAAATACTTGAAAACTGCAAAGTTTCCATGAAGGTTTCGGGAAATATGGGTTAGTAAGTCTAATATTAACTGGGTTTTAAAATTCACACTGTTTAAAATATCACAAATAGCAATGGGTTGTAGTCACAGCTTCTGCAAGGGAGCTTGCAGAAGGTGAGTTCCTCCTCCATCACCCCAGGCTTCTCACCATTGCAGCTCTGTGGGCTGTGCTTTCTGTGACAGTAGTCATATTTCTCTTCCCATGCCCCCAAACGGCTTCTGGGGGCCAAGATGGCACCTGGAATCTGCTCAGTGCCAGAGCCCAGGTGGGGTAGCATAGTGATAAATAACATTTAAAGGGGGGTGCAGAGCAGGTATCCTTTGCCACTGGAAACATTTGTGTGCAGCAAAAAACTACAGAAAACAGTTAAGTGCGCAAGTGTCTTGGCAAAGTTGTACGTGCTTCATTGCTTATTCTGGCTCTTGCAGGTACTTGGACTCAAACTCCCGAATATATTTGGACGTGCCGAGAAGGTGACATTTCAGTTCTCCTATGGCACAAAGGAAACTTCATATGGTCTCTCTTTCTTCAAACCACAGCCTGGTCACTTCGAAAGAAAGTAAGATACCTTCAGAATGTAGTAAGGTTTCAATGCTATGTACATCTATTTAGAAAAACCCTAGACCCTTGAAAATGTATTGTAACTGGTGTGCAGTAAAGGACAATAAATTCACCAGTATACACCCCATTTTTTGAAAGATGAGCTATTTCAGGTAGTGACCCCAATACTCAATACGTTCACTCTCATCCGCAGTTGGTCACACTGAGAGTAGTTGGTAACAGCTTTCACTGTTATGACCGTTAGCAAATATTTTAAGGCATGTGTCAACAGATTGGGCCATACCCAGTGCTTCAACTCTGTGGACTTAGTGTGAACAACAGAGCTTATTCTTCTGTCTGCTCCACCCACTCACCCCTGTGTACCGTAACTCTGGAGGCTTGGGGGATCTGGACAAATGTTGGGGTATGTGTGTTGTGGCTGGAGAGGAAACAGAAGTTCCACATTGGATACAACCCAGTGTCTTGCACTTTTAGACTCTATGCTTCCTTAGTTCCAACAAAAGAGTTCTTAAGGCAGTTTACATGGTAGAATTTACTCCTAAGTTTTCATTCTCTCCTATGCTTTTCCTTGAATGGGGCATTTCTTGACTGCTGTAGGTCTTACCAGGCAGATGGGCATCAGATGTTGCTGGTTCTCTGGCCTCCCAGCTGCCATTGCTGTTGAAATCATGCATAAAGTCCTTCTTCTCTGCTACTATCTGCTACTGTTGCCTTGCCAGGCTTTCAGCAGCTGGGAAAACTCCCCTCTGGTGATGTGTTCTTGATCACCAAGCCTCAGTAGAACATGTTAATGCCCAAACTGGGTATGGCTTTTTGGAGTTATTCCCATGGATAGAAAGTTTCACAACTTTATTATTATCATTATTAAAAATACTGTATCTAGCTTTAGCCCAGGAGATTTTTTTGAGCAAACATTTTGGGTGATGCATTCAACTATATTTTTTACATGTATACATACAGGGCAGTGATTCCTCACACCATGTGTGCAAAGTATTACATTGGAACTAATTCTGCATTACATTGGATTACAAGTATTACATTGGAACTAATTCTGCATTAATTAGGTTTTTCCATGTTTTTCCATAGAAACTTTGGAGAAAGTGAGCAAGATATCTTGCTGTTTAGCTTCTATCTCTTGTTTCAGCTAATGCTAAGTCAAATACAGTATCATTCTGTTTTGACATGTTTGCAAGTAAATCTAGTCTGCGCTAACAGCTATATATCTGTCCACTCGCACAAAGTTAATGAAAGGCAGCTCAGTTTGTTTCATCCCTCCCATATGTTCTTAAGCTTTCAACAGTTTTTGTCAAATCCAAAAACAGTAAAATTTCATGATAAAATGGTAAATTGCCTTTTCTCATCAAATAGTTCTGTTCAGAAAGTTAATGTAGATGTCTTGGCTTCCAGCACTTTAAGAGACTGCTGCTGTGGAGTGTTAAGCTTGCGCAGCTCCTTGTACAACTATCTGCATTTCACTGTTAACACTGAAAGTAAATTAAGTTGATTAATGATGACATATGAGAATTATCTTCCGTTTTCTGTAGCCAACTTATTAATTGGTTTTTAAGCTATTAAAGTATTTTGTACAGTACTATTGTAAGCAATTCTTCTGTGGTTTAGCTATTTAGATCTAACTTAAGGGCTCCAGTTCTAGCTTGAAGGCATAGCTGGCGCTAGGCTTCTGTCCTGCTAGTGGTGAACCACCATTCTGCTAGTATTTCATCTCTGCCTTCCTGGCTCATTTAGTAAGAGACAGAGAGTGTCTGTGAGGCATATGGTGAAATAGGATTGCTCACCTTACAGCACAGAAGGTTAGTTTGGAGGTCCAGGAACTTGAACCACGAATGCAATCTTAACATCTTTCCTTTAAGGATTTTACAATGACAAATATGGCAGAGCCATACAGCCTTGTCCTGCTTGCCAAGTAAAGAGTTCTTTTTATCAGCTATAGGTAAAGTTAAGCAGTGCCATAAGGTGTGATCTTATGAAACACTTGTTCTTCAGCTCCTTTCTTTGTTGTAGTAATCCTAGATCTTCATGTTATGTTTCTAGCTTTTCTCTCAATCTGTATAAAGTAACCGGACAATTTCCTTGGAGTTCTCTTCGTGAAACTGATAGAGGAATATCAACAGAATTCAATGTAGGTAAAATAGCGCTACTTGTTTATGGTTGGCTGGGGAGAGAGAAATCCACAAATTTGGTTATCTGCAGTGACAGTGCCTCTCTGTCTGGCAGCTGCCCCTCACTCAAACCAAGTTTTCTCTCTCAAGTTTTTTGAAGATTGCAGAGAACTCAGGAGGAGGAAATATTTGTGCTGGGCATGATAAACTTAACCTTTCCTTTCTCATCTTCTTGCTTCATCTTCTGCATTGCTAAAATTGAGGTGGGGGAGCAAAAGGCAATGGAGGCAGCATTTTAAAAATGAAGCAGATGCAGCCACTGATACTTTTCCTGCTCCGTTGTTGCTCCAGTGCTGCCTCCTGGAACTGGCAAATCCTTGCATGGATTTCAAAACCCCAGCATCTCCTTTCTGTGAGAATTCACTTGAATTAGCTGATGCCTGCTGCTTGCCCCGGCTCCAGTCCAGCTGAGAGCCTAGCAACTCTCTTGAAAGGAGCTAGCAGCCCAGCACCTTCCTCACAAAAAGCCAGCTCACCTGGCTAGCACCTGCCCTCAAGAGAGAAGCCAGGTGAACCTGGGAGGAGACCGGCAAAGCAAAGTACCGTAGCAGCAGCTCCTATAGTCTGAGTTGGCTCTTCTAAGACTGGCTGCATTGCCAGTAAACCCAGTGCTCCTGCTCATAAAGATATATGTGAAAGATGCTGAAAATATGTAAATGTTTTCTCATTCATAATTAAAGAAATTGTTTCTTTTACAGTTTCCCATATGGAAGACCAACCACACGCTAAAATGGGAGGGTGTCTGGAGGGAGCTTGGCTGTCTTGCAAGAACAGCATCATTTTCTGTCCGAGAAGAAAGTGGACATTCACTCAAGTCATCTGTGTCTGTAAGCTTTTGCTATTTGGAATATGAATTTTTGAAGTATGACAAATGCTGACGAATAGTACCACATTAATTAAGCCAAATGCAATAGTGCTGAATTAATGGTTCCTTATGACACCTGTTGTCCATTCTTGCCCAAGAGCAATAGAGATTCGAGTCTATATGGATATGAGGAAAGCTGATTTTTGTACTGAATGATATATATGTATATTTCAGATTACAGCATCTTTATCCATTTATTCATTTATGTATACCTTTATATTTATAATTATCTGCTTATATTATTGTTATAAGGTTTCACAACATACCTAATATTTTCAGTTCATTGTTTCCTAACATGAAGATAGACACAACTTTCTTAATAGCAGTTGGTTTTTCACATGCAAAGGGAACCTGGCTTTGCTGTCTTGCATAGTTAATAGCTGAATTGGCAATTGTATATTTATTCACGATAAAAGCTGCAAGGTTCAATTGATCTATCAGAATGTTTACATGACTAAAAATATGCCATTGCTAATAGGCAAATAAAGGTAAATAAAGATGGGGAGCATCATTTTAAGGGAGGTATCCCACTCATTCTTTCACATAGGAGGGAATTGAATATTATAAGAGTTGCCTTTTCTTCCACATATCAATAAGTAAGTACGCCTCTCTCTCTTCACTTGCTGAGACAGAGCTAACGTTGCAGTGGCTGGTAGTATTGCTGTGATCCAGCAAACTGCAGATGGAAGAACAAATATCTCCTTTGCAGTTTCACATGTGTATTGATACTCAGTTGCTTGTGCACAGTTGGATAACTGGCAGTTGACACAAGGAATGCAGCCACTCAGTGTAAGGAATTGGATCTTGGCCATAGTTTACACATAATGTAGTAGCTTCATGTTGAAATGCTCAGTGTATGCTTAGTCTACAAAACTACTTAGTAAAATTCAGAATTAAGTATGAACCTTTTATTGCTAGATAGTTTTAATTATGCAGTATCATGTTAAGAGTTTAGTAGAATGTTTGCCCAAACGAGTAGTGATGAATAATTTTTTCCTCTATCTCCAATAAGATTGTATGCAATTCAGGAAAAAGGAATGTCATAGTTGACTGTTCCTACCTTATAACATTTCATATGTGTGTTTGTTTATAGCACGCTATGGTAATTGATTCTCGTAACTCTTCAATCTTGCCGAGACGAGGTGCTTTGCTGAAAATAAACCAGGTATTATCAGGTTCTGGAAAACAGCTGTGGGTGGGTGTTTTATATTTGCAATATGTATGCAAAATATGGCACTATTGGTTGAAGTCCTGTACACTTCAGCTCCCTGCATGATTGAGCTAGCCTTCAAATCAATATTTTGTTTCATATATAGTACCACCAAAATAATAAAACAACAAGTGATTCGTGTGGAAATGTGTTTTTGTATTTATATTTCTGTCTTCAAAAGAGTCTGTTTGGTATTTTAGGAGTTGGCTGGCTATACCGGTGGTGATGTGAGTTTTCTGAAAGAGGACTTTGAACTTCAGTTTAACAAGAAGCTCTTGTGGGATTCAGTAAGTACTTGGTGCTATTGGGAGTAAACAATTCATATCATAGTACCTTTTAAAAACCCCCCAAATGAAATAAAGTATCTTTTTAAAGTTACAAATTGTTTTAAGTACAGCATTTAGCAGTTCAGTTGGAATCAGTTCAGCCTGCATATTAGAATATAGAAAATGTGTGCATTTTCCTAACATGGAAAATGCAGGTGTGATAACTGTCACGTAAGTTTTGAAACTTGAGGGAGTTTCAGAAGCAGTTAGTGTTGTGGTGGGGTGGTTTCTTGTTCTAAGAAGCCAGTTTGAATGTGTGTTTGTGTTGGAGTGTGTGTGTGTGTGTGTGTGTGTGAGAGAGAGAGAGAGAGAGAGGGGGAGGGAGAATGGCATAACCCTTTGCTCAACATTAGGCAACTCTTGGCTCCTGACCATAATTTGCAGTATATAGGTACAATCTAGAGAAATCCATCTATTTGTGCCCTTTTGATTTTTTAAAAGTTCAATATAGGAAACTAGCCCTTCTTTTAAAAGGCTCCACAATATGAAAGTGGCTCGGGGGTTGGAGCTGGGTTATGTGGAGCCAACCTGTCATTTATACCGCCCCTGGACAGCCTTTCAATTTGTTGTGAATGTATTGAAACTTATTTTCCACTGGAAATTCTAAGATGAAAAAGGGGCAACATAACAAAAACTATTATTCTGGAAGTAACTGATGTTGCCTCAGAAAGTACATATTTTTATTTTTTACAAATTCAATAAATGCGAGCCATTTTACTCCTAAAATTTCCTTTTCTTTTCCATCCTGCAGTTGAACCAATTGTGGGTTTATTTCCAAACTTTTAGCTAGCTATTTTTTAACTGTAAGTGGTAAATTGTTCTTCCATGTTGGGGCTGCTAACATGCAGGCAATGACAATTAAGTTCCACACAGGTTCTTTGTTTTATTTAGTCATCTAAATAACACAATAGAATTGCTAAAGGGTCCAAAGTTACAACATAATGGGTTATTAGTGTGATTAATCTAGTTACTACTAGGGTTTCATTCTTAATGAACAATACCACAAACAGGCCTCATACCTGCATTCGAGGATCCACATCTCCAACATTTATCTGCACATCTGTCATATACAGTGGTACCTCTGGTTGCGAACGGGATCTGTTCTGGAGGCTCGTTCGCAACATGAAAAGAGCGCAAGCTACAGCTGCCTGTCTGCGCACGCGCGGGTTGCGATTTGCCGCTTCTGTGCATGTGCGTGACGTCATTTTGCGCTTCTGCACATGTGCAAGTGGCGAAACCTGGAAGTAACCCTTTCCAGTACTTCCGGGTTGCCGCGGGACGTAACCTGAAAGAACGTTACATGAAGCGGACGTAACATGAGGTATGACTGTATTTTACTCAATCTATGACTGCCTGTCTCTTTAAAGGTTTTATCAACTTCTCTTTGGGGTGGAATGTTGGTTCCTATTGGAGACAAACCATCAAGTATTGCGGATAGGTAAGTAATTCCACTTGCTTTCCTTTGAGTTTGCCTATTGTCTGTCTGGCATAGCATGTAAATAGAAATGATGCATCTCTTGCATCAAGAAATTTATTTTAAGCATTGATTTTAATGGTACTCATTTGCATGGCTTCCAAACCAAGCTACTTGGGAGCTTGCTTTAATGGCAGCATTTCCTGCATCTCAGAAAAGTTTAGCAAAGGATGGCCAAACTAGGTGTGACAGTGGCACCTCTGTATGCTTAGACAGGGATATGCCCTGATCATATTGAAAGGGTGGATGTGGAGGTGAGGAGGTGGTTAAGTACAGTTCCTTCTGCCTGCTGTAACACACCTTGTCGCCTGCCACTTCACATGCAGTAATGGTTCTCTTTTCCTTATAGATTTTATCTTGGCGGACCAACAAGTGTGCGTGGATTCAGTATGTACAGCATTGGACCACAGAGTGAAGGTTTGAGACATTTTTAGTAGGCGGCATCATTGTCAATAATTTTACTAGGACCCAGAAAATGGGCTGAGAATACTTGAGGATGATGATGATGATGATAGATGGTTGGTCTACCTGATAAGACGGCATATTGCACTGATCCTGGCCCGACTGCCAGTTACCGTATTTTTTGCTCTATAAGACTCACTTTTTCCCTCCTAAAAAGTAAGGGGAAATGTGTGTGCGTCTTATGGAGCGAATGCAGGCTGCGCAGCTATCCCAGAAGCCAGAACAGCAAGAGGGATTGCTACTTTCACTGCCTAGCGATCCCTCTTGCTGTTCTGGCTTCTGAGATTCAGAATATTTTTTTTCTTGTTTTCCTCCTCCAAAAACTAGGTGCGTCTTGTGGTCTGGTGCGTCTTATAGAGCGAAAAATACGGTAGTTTCCAGGCCCAATTCAGAGTGCTGGTTTTGACCTATGAAACCTTAAGCAGCTCAGGACCGCAATACGTCAAGGGCTGCCCCCTCTCCACTTGAACCCTGCAATCATTACCTGAGGTCCTTCTTCATGTGCCTCCTCTGTGAGAGATCTGGAGGGTAGCAACATGAGAATGGGCCTTTTCTGCGGTGGCTCCCCATTTGTGGAATGCTCTCCCTAAGGAGGATCACCTGGCACCTTCATTACATGTCTTTAGGTGCCAGGCAAAAACATTCCTCTTCAACCAGACCTTGGGCTGTTTAATATTCTATGGCAGAGGTTCCCAAGCTTATCAGACCTACCACCCGCTTTTCAGAAAAAAGTTACTCGGTGTCCCCTGGAAATCTACCTTCTTTAAGTGAACAAACGGAAAGATGCATTGACAAAATTGCGTTCTTTATGTATCTGTATTTCTGCCTATGCCCTACAACATAGTAAAGATGTTGTTGTAATTAGGCAGGCAAGCTTCCCAGGCCTGGGTGAAGCCGAAAAGGGGTCACCCAAGCCCTAGAAACCCCCACGCCTCCAGCTTGACCCCCAGGTACAGGTGAGGCATTGTAGCCGTCCCACAATATTGTTCTGAAAGTTGTTCTGTGATCCATTGCCAGCAGGTGGGACCTTCAATAAAGTTTTACAGTGTGTAGTGCTTCTATGGACAATTATGGCAAAAAAGTTGATTTAGCCTAAAGTGACGGAGGATACCTCTTTCTTATACTGAATAGTGTTCTTGAGATTGCTGATGTAGCGAATATTTTGTGCTGTGCTACTCTTCTAGGGGATTACCTGGGAGGTGAAGCTTACTGGGCTGGAGGTCTGCATTTGTACACTCCTCTCCCTTTTCGGCCTGGCCGGGGAGGATTCGGAGATCTATTCAGAACACACTTCTTTCTCAACGCTGGCAACCTCTGCAATCTTAATTATGGTAAGAAGCAAATACATTGGAGCCCCCCCCCCCCTTTAAGGCATTTTAACTTTCTGCAAAAATTATATTTTTAAAATTGAGTGTTTTAAAATAGTTTACTGCCTTGTACCTGGAACAGAACTTGGGCTACTGGCCATGAAAACATTTGGTTATTGTCTCATTCTCATTGGCTTCCTTTCCATTCCCAGGTGAAGGTCCTAAGGCTCATCTTCGTAAACTAGCAGAGTGCATCCGGTGGTCCTATGGTGCTGGAATAGTTCTCAGGCTTGGAAACATTGCTCGATTAGAACTCAATTATTGTATCCCAATGGGAGTACAAAGTGGGGACAGGTATGTTCGGTTATTCTAAATTGCCTTTCCACCTAATATATATGTTAAAAAAATATAAATAAGGTATTTTACAGCTTCAAAACTGTAAAATCCACTCTATGCTCCTCTCTAATCGCGTACCAACATAAAAGAGCTGATAGCATATCCTCTGTTCAAGGCCCAGTGACTTGCAAAGCTATGAGATGAAAAAAATACTAGAGAGCTAAAAAAAAACCCCTAGTGATCCTCTTTTCTCCCCCTCCCTGCCAAGTCATCTAAAACTAGACAGATTTGTTGCTTAATTGCTTCCCTTAAGAGAATGTCACAGGAAAAGCCTTTCTCCTTAAACTTTCTGCAGAAGCAGGATTCAGAGCATGACTTCATCTACCTATCATAAAGAGGGTACACTGGCTGATAAGGGAAAACAATCTGATATAGGGAAATGCAAGGCTTTATAGGTGCATTAGAAACAGCACTTTGAGTCACACTCATACTCATATTAACATCCAGCACAGCTGAGCAACAGTTGGTTTGGTCTTCTTTCTGCACCATCTGTCAACCTAGCTGTATGCTAATGATGTTAGGGACAGTCTCATGGAACACACTAGAGTAATTTGATTTTCAAGCGAACCAAGACATGTTCCTTGTTCTCTGAGAAGGGGTGCAGTTAATATATGAGATGTACACCCGTGTGCAAATTAATTGAAACAAACGATGTAGTTTATTGTACAAAACTTACATATACATACATTAGTAATGGATATGACCTCCGCTATTTTTAAGCAGCATTTGAACAAGGTTTGGCATGGAGTCTACTAGTTTCGAACAGTCACTGTTGATTTTCGGATCCCAGTACCACACTTGAATCAGTGCCTGAATGAGCTTCTCCATAGTCGTACAGTCTACAGCACGGAGGCGACTTTTGCCTATAGCCCACAAATTCTCATTGGGATTTACGTCCGGGGAATTCCCTGGCTAATCAAGTACCTGGATTTGCTGCTTTGTCATGAATTTCTTCACCACTTTCGATGTGTGACAGGGGGCTAGGTTGTGCTGCAATATCCCAGTACTGTCAGGATACCTCTTTTCCAGCTCTGGAATAACTCTTTTTCGTAGAACCTCAATATCAGGCATAGGCAACCTCAGCTCTCCAGATGTTTTGGGACTACAATTCCCATCATCCCTGACCACTGGTCCTATTAGCTAAGGACCATGGGAGTTGTAGTCCCAAAACATCTGGAAGGCCGAGGTTGCCTATGCCTGCTCAATATATTGTGGTGAGCACATCATTCCTTCTATTTGCTGCAGGCTTCCAACACCATAATGATCCACTGACTTTTCGTGTTTGTTTTGAATAAAGTGGTACCTCGGGTTACATACGCTTCAGGTTACATACGCTTCAGGTTACAGACTCTGTTAACCCAGAAATAGTACCTCGGGTTAAGAACTTTGCTTCAGGATGAGAACAGAAATTGTGCAGTGGCGGCGCGGCAGCAGCAGGAGGCCCCATTAGCTAAAGTGGTGCTTCGGGTTAAGAACCGTTTCAGGTTAAGAACGGACCTCCGGAATGAATTAAGTACGTAACAAGAGGTACCACTGTACAGGATTACGAGTAAGGTAGAAAACATGCTTTGTTTCAATTAATTTGCACAAGGGTGTAACTGATAAAAGCTCTCTTGGCCATTGCTGCCTCCTGGGAATCCGGGAGAATTTCTAGACTGCAAATTTCTTCTCAGAAAGTGCATTTTTATCAAGGATGCACAGTTTCATTGGATTCAGCTTCCAAGTTGAAGCACAGTTTCAGAAACAGAACTACCAATGTGAATTTAGGTGAAAACAAAAAAAAAATGCAATCTGGTCTCATCAGCAAATTTTAGTAGGCTCCTATTTAATTGTCAAGCTTAATGGAGAAGAAAACTTCAGCATGCTCATATGCATGTTTGTTCAGAAGCAAATTACACTGTTTTAAGTGGAGCTTACTCCCAGGTAAGTGCACATAGGATCACAGCTGAAATCTATAATCTTTAATTAGTGACATAAAGCCAAGAAGTGAGACAAATATTCTGCTTAAAGGTCAGCAAAATGTAAAGCGTTATCTCAAGCTAAAATTGCATTTATTACAGTACATTGCATATCATACTAATTATTTTTGTTTTTCCAGAATATGTGATGGAGTTCAGTTTGGAGCTGGAATAAGATTCTTGTAATGTCACAGTCGTTTCATAATATCACTGGGCCAAAATGAGCTCCTGAGTTCAAGAGTGGCACAAAGATGTCCCAGAGGATTTTACCGAAATATAATTATGTATGAAGGGTTTACTTCAATAAAGAAACTTGCTTTAAAAAGTCCCATAATTTATGGTGTGATGCATTCTTGATTTCTTCAAAAACTTCTTTAAAAAATTTAAATCAGGACTTGGAAAACAGCAACCTGTAACTCTGTTTGAGGACTCACTTTTGCCAAGGGAGACACAAATAAAACTTGCATTTGGTATAGCTGAAGGTGTTATCAGGGCAGGCCAGTTAACTCATCCTTTGAGAAGAATGAGTGGAGGAGCCCCATCTCTGCTGTGCATGTGCTAGGAGGGGCATAATATTGTATTACTGTACTTGGGTTTGCATCTGTGATCCTACCTGGAAACAAAGCTCCATGGAAACATTGAATATGTTAATATGTTTAGATTAAAGGAGTAAAGCGGAAAGAACAACATTATCTAGGAATGTTATAAGGAGAGAAAAATCCAAAATCTAAAGTGTGCAATGATTATATCGTACTCAAAAAACAAGGAAGTTGTGGTGTGGTGGAGGGAAGTTGAGGGGTGTGGTGGTGGGAAGCGATTGTGGGCAGGAAGGCTTTTTGTTTGTGTAAATAATAGTGCATTTCTGTGTGCTTTTGTTTGGGCAGCATGTACGTTTCTTTTGCTCCTTTTTGTATTAAAAACCCCCTCAAAAATTAAAAAAGGGAAAAAAAGAAAGTGAGGATTAGGGTTTGCTCACATATGCATTTCATATCACTTGATGCCACACAGTTTAATGTATGAATGGACTTTTATCAAAAAGCACAGTGTTTGAGGCAGCATGAAAAGTTCTGCCCATGGCTATTTTTTTTGACTGCTACTCACAAATGTGAAGAAAATGCTGGAGACTGTTTTTAGGTACAAGTTAAACATGTTTAGGGTTTGGTATCCATATTGAAAGGGCTTGCTTTGCAGATGTGTGATCAGAGACGGTTTTTCAGGGCGTATCAAAACATTTCTCGAGGGAAAGGAAACTGTTTTGATGACTAACAGAGCTTCTTCCTGCTCTGCTTAGATCCTGACTTTGCTGCTCAGCAGTCCCTCTTCCATTAAAGAGGAACTAAACGCTTGGTGTCTCACTCATCTTCACTTGACACAAGCCCTACACTTTCTACGGTGTGGGTGACTTGCAAAGAGAAGCAACAGCTAGGGCCAGCCAGGGCTGCTCTTCCACGGCTGTCAGTTACAGGAGCACCTTTGACTCTCTAAAGGCAGGGAAAGCTCGGTGCATTGTGTCTCATCTTTATACGATGGCAAATGCACTCTTAAGCTTTTAATTATATCATCCAGTTACATAGTAAGAACATACTGGATCAGGCTAATGATCCATCTAGTCCATCACCCTGCATCTCACAGATGCAAACCAGATACAGTGGTGCCCCGCAAGACGAATGCCTCGCAAGACGGAAAAACCGCTAGACGAAAGGGTTTTCCGTTTTGAAGTTGCTTCACAGGACGAATTCCCCTATGGGCTTGCTTCGCAAGACGAAAATGTCTTGCGAGTATTGAGATTTTTTTTTCGCTTTTCCCCCCCTTTATCTAATCTGCTAAGCCTTTAATAGCCTTTAATAGCCTTTTAGCAGCTAATCCCCTAAGCCTTTAAGCCTTTAATAGCCGCTAAACAGCTGATAGCGCTAATAGCGCTAATCCGTCAATGGGCTTGCTTCGCAAGACGAAAAAACCGCTAGACGAAGACTCTTGCGGAACGGATTAATTTCGTCTTGCGAGGCACCACTGTATTTGTATTAGTCCAGTAATGACACACAGTATGTGCATTCTTTAATTTTAGCAATAATTGTATAATTCCAGTTTATTAATTTCATTTTACTGTGACTTTTCTTCTATGCATCAGCATCATTTATTTTCTCTTAAGATGATCCTGAGGCCTGGGCAGTGGTCCCATTCAAACAGCTCAGAATGGCTAACATAGTACTAGCAGTGATGGAGATGGGAGGTGATGACAATTGAGAAGGAGAATCTTCTAAAGCTTGACCAGGAAAGAAGCAGTGCAAGGAAGGCAATACGCAGGTTTCCTCTTTGCAAGGTGGCCACTGGTATTAGAGTCACAAGCAATATACCTGGCATTAGTAGGTGGAGAAAAATGCATTGCTCACTACTGGTGATGTAACAGGTGCTGTCCAATAGGTGCTGTCCATGGCACACATGCAACTGCGTTCCACACAACACTCTAAATCTCATTTCCCCTACCAGCTTGGGAATGAGCCTCATTTCCCCAGCAATAAGACTTTGGCGATATCCCAGTCACTTCCTTGTCATAAGAAATTTGGATAGCTACATTTGTTGCATTCTAACGGATATTTTCCTTGTTCTGTTCACATTATCTACAGCTTTGGCAAAGGCAAGAAACGCTATGTTGATAAGCATGCAGCTTCATGATGATCGTAGAGTTGGTAGGAATCCCAAGGGTCATCTAGTCCAACCCCCTGCAATGCAGGAACCACCACTAACCACCATGACTGATGGCCATGCTTAAAAACCTCCAAGGAATCACACACACATATAATGTGTGTCACTGTTACATATTGTGAAATGATATTTTGCATGGGTCATACCACTACCAAAAGGTGTGGGGAAAGGGTGATGGGAAAACTTGTAGAGGCCTCACTAGGTGGTGTTCCAATACCCCCCCCCCCCAAAAGTGACTAGACAACCTTAGAAGACATCTGAAGGCAGTCCTGAATAGGGAAGTTTTTAAATGTTTTATTATGTTTCTATATTTGTTGGAAGCCGCCCAGAGTGCCTGGGGCATCCCAGTCCGATTGGGGGTGTGTGTGTGACAACAACAACAACAACAGGATGTCCCTATTTTCATCGGCGAAATCCTGCTTAATAGTTTTGCCACTGCGGAAGAAGATAAACGTTGCGCGCGCGCAAGGAAAGTCCAGCCTTCCTTTTGTAGGGCACTCGCTCAGTCTTTCCCCTTCTCGCGGCAGATTGGCACTCGGCACATGCCCAGAAGAACCACCGACCTGGCTTCAGTTTTCTTTTCCTTTCTAAAGAGAGCGATGAGCCGGGCACGTGCTCAGAGCCACTCCCCCCCCCCCGCCCGTTATTCTTTGTTAAGCCTTTGCTCCAGGCTGCGGATCCGAAGGTGCGGGCGACAGAGAAGCCCCGCCGGCTGGCCCTTCCGGACCCGCCCCTCGGCCTCCCACGCCATCGGCGGGCGCTGCGCTCTCCGTCCAGACCCTCCGTCCCCGGCGGGGATGCGCCCTGGCGCGCGCGCGCCCCGCCTCCCCTCACGGTGCGCCCCGCGGCGGGCTGCGTGTCTCCCGGCTGCCTCCGGCCGCCCTCCCTCCCTCCGCGCCTCGCCGCCGCCGTCCCGGGCGCGCCCATGTCCGCCACGCCGGTGCGCTCGCCCACCCTGCGGCCGCACAGGATGAAGAAGGACGAGTCCTTCCTGGGCAAGCTCGGCGGGACGCTGGCCAGGAAGAAGAAAGCCCGAGAGGGTGAGCGGGGCGCCGGGAGGGCGCACGGCGGAGAGGAGGGCGGGGGGCCCGGGCCCGGGGCGCCCGGAGGAGGAGGAAGACCAGGCGGGCTTCCGTGTGGGGTGGGGGGACTCGCGCAGCCCCAGAAGCGGGCATAGGATCGCAGCTTCGCGCTGCCTCTCCGCTCGGAATGGCGAGCTCCCAGCCCAGCCCGCCGCCCTCTGATTATTTCCAGTTGTCTGGAAACTTTCCTCGCGGCGCTGCTGGGTTTCCCGTGGAGGTAGCCAGGGACAATGAAGCGGGAAGGGGGCTGAGGAGAAGTTCCCCAGGAGTTCTCTTCTGCCTCCTGTAAGACGAGTGAGGCTTCCGCGGGGTAGAGTTGTGCCAAATGACTGTGCCAGCTGGCGCAACGGGCTCCCCTTGGAGGAGCAGCTCAGAGCTCACTTGCATTGCAAACGAGTAGCCCTGTATCTTCCTGCCTCTCTGCAATTTGGGAATAATGACGCTTTTCTACCACACACTGTTGTTGTAAAGGTGATCAAGAAATGATATTATTGGTGATTTGCGAGGAGCAAGACAGGTCCCCACCCTTCTTCGGAGGGCTTCCATGGCTTTGATAGGTGCACTGCAGGCAGAAATGGCAGGGGAAGCTTTTCCTGCCATGGTATCATAGAATTGTAGAGTTGGGAGGGACCCCTAGGGTCATCTAGTCCAACCCCCTGCAATGCCGGAATCTCAACAATTGTCACCCATTCAATGAAAAACTTCTTTTTATTGTTGCTGCTAAAGGCACAGATGGAAGCACGTTCGGGGAAAGGAATGTGGCAACTTGGTGCTTCAAATATAGGTCATGATTAGTGTAGAGAGACAACTTATCAAAGTATGCAAGAGGTTAGCAGACTCACACATATAGTGTGAGGGCCTAGAATAAAAGGGTGGGGGAGGGTGGAGGGTTCCCACCCGCTCTTTAGAGAGAAGGGAAGCATTGAACAAGCCGTTCTTTGAAATCCTTACAGAAGTAAATCAGAATCCTTTGACTAATTTCACATTGTAGCCAAGACATATTTAAATGGATGTATTTCTTAACCACCCCAGAAATTGGAACAAGTGCTCAATAAACAGCAAATATGATTTAACCTCTGCACAGACTTTGTGCAAACAAATGGGGATGGATGCTCAACAAACCGCTTGTCTGAAGGAGTCCTTGCTGGAGGAGGATGCGGTGTTGCACAACTACAGCTCTCTTCACCATTGGACATCCCTGAGGGCCACAGATTTCCTATCCTTGAGCTAAATCTCATTGCATCTTACTACCACCTGATGGGGGTTTAAGCACGGGTGGAAAAGTTGCTTGTCAAAAAGATAAAGGTAAAGGGACCCCTGACCATTAGGTCCAGTCGTGGCCGACTCTGGGGTTGCAGCACTCATCTCGCTTTATTGGCCGAGGGAGCCAGCGTACAGCTTCCGGGTCATGTGGCCGGTATGACTAAGCCGCTTCTGACGAACCAGAGCAGCGCACAGAAGCGCCGTTTACCTTCCCACCGGAGCGGTACCTATTTATCTACTTGCACTTTGATGTGCTTTCAAACTGCTAGGTTGGCAGGAGCAGG